ATCCATAAGTCCATCCTATCAGTTGGTTGTCTCAGTTAAAACTTAGCAACTTCACTTTCCTCCTCTTTCTTAGCCCTATTTCTTTCCCTGGAACTAAGATTTTCCTGAACAGTAAAATGGTTTTGAAAGTAGCTGCTGAGGTAGTAATAGAGAGTAGCATGGCAGTGGGCCACCTTACACCGATGAATGGGGGCCAGTGTTTTCCTTCTATCCTTATTCGGCATTTAGCATGGTTTATGCCAGCCAGAACTCATTGGATTAGATCTGGCAGTCTTTCCTAAATTCAATTTGCTTGCTTTGAATCACTGCCAGTAATACGTTATAGTAGAGCCAGGTGCTGCATCCACTGTTAGCCGGGTCTGCTCTTACAAAGCAGATGCAAGAACAGGACATTTTAGTACACCACAACCAATGGTATCCATACCAGCTCTGCTGCAAAATGCCATGTGTTATCTCATTGGCCTGAATCATGCACACGCACACATTTATGCATAGATAGATAGATAGATAGATAGATAGATAGATAGATAGATAGCACATCTCTACTAAGCTAACTTTCTATGTTCCCCAACATTCCCTAGATGTTGCCAAGGTCACTGTTAAATAGTCAAATGTGCTTATGGTTCTTAAGAATAATTATTTGGCCATGAAAGGAAAGTGAAACTTGTTTTTAACAATTCTCTGTTAGTTATTTGGGACTTCGTAATGCTGGCTGCTTGATCTGGCTTTTGGCAGCAGAAAGGAAACATTGCTCTAATTTTAATATTTTTATTTTGGTCAGAGACCAGCATTAAATTGCTCTAATTAATTTAAGTTAATGAGCAATCAGTTATCAGCAGTAATAAAAATAATATTAACAATCCGGGCTGCTAGAATATTTACTCTGTTACTGTCTTTTATTTTCTGTTTTAGACTCCATATTAAACAATTTATTCTGTTATATCAGTCCTGTTATAAAGATACACATAACCAACTATGAACAAAGATTGTAGAAAGAAAATTATGGCAAACATGGTTGCAGTCTTCCATTTTGAATTGCCAACAAAAGACCTCAATTTTTAACAAGTATTCTTTGCACAGATTCATATTCAATGCCCTTATGAGAAAATATCTGCCACAAATATTTCTTTTACAAGAGATATGATTGATATTAATTTTGCTACTGTGCTTTGTATGACATGGAATTATATCTTAATTATTGTAACCTTTTCAATTTTATCTATATTGTTCCATTTGCAACTTGTTATTTCCACATTTAAGCCCTCAATCCATTTGTTGATCACAACTAAAGTAGATGCCCTGAATAAATGGAAACTGAATTAATGTAACTTTGAACAAATGATCTAGTGTACATGTGCCAAACTCAAGACCCATGGACTGATTCCAGCTCACCATGTCAATTTATGTGGCCCTCCAGCTGCTGGACTCCAACTGGAGAGGCCCTGCTCTCGGTCCCACCAGCCGCGCAAGCGCGGCTGGTGGGGACGAGGGACAGGGCCTTCTCGGTGGTGGCCCCACGACTCTGGAACTCTCTCCCTCTGGAGGCCAGAACCGCCCCATCCATCCTAACATTTAGGAAACGGGTGAAGACGTGGCTGTGGAGTCAGGCCTTCGAGGAATGAGACAACACCATAGGACTCTGGATGGAAGTGGATATAGATCCATCTTATTAGGACGACTGACCACTGTAGTTTTATATTTAGTGTTTTTAAAGTTGTTTTGTAATTTGTGATATATGATATTTTAATGAATGTATATGTTTTTATGGCTGTAAACCGGGCTGAGTCCCTCGATGAGGTTGAGAAGCTCGGTATACAAAACTGTGAAATAAATAAATAAATAAACTCCTGTATCATTAGAAATCCTGCCTAGAACCAATGGGAGTTGTGATAGTGTAACGTCTGGAAGGCTAGAGTTTGTTCTGTTTGGTCAGGATAATGGAGGTTGAATGTAGATATAAGGATTCTGCATATGATGTCTGACTTTAAAATGTCCTTTAACGATTCTCCAATTTGAGAGCCGTAAGTGCTGTTGGGTAGCAGTTCCCATCATATCCATCTGCATGGTGGATAATCAAAAGTCATGGAAGATGTCATTTAATAACATCTGGAGACCCAAATTGGGTAAAAACTTAAGAACACAGACAACAATATAAAGAGATATATATATAGTTGGCCCTCCTTAGCTACAGATTCTCCATCCATAGATTCAATGGAACTTTGAAGGCAACCATAAAGCTGGTGTAGTTTTCAGTTAAAATGATTTGATACCTCCTTTATTCTAGGTACTAGTATTTGGATTGAAGATTATTTAACTGCAAATTTCCAGACTTTATCTATACAGCTCAGGCATTTGTCATTAGAACAACTTGCTTATCTTTTACTGAAGAAAATGAATTGCTTTCACTTTCACATTATAAACGGGTTTGCTTAAACATGACTTCTGACATGGCCTCTCCTTAGAACTGCAGGATATGAATGAGTTTGGATTTCATATAGATGTTGTTATGATGGCAAATCATATCCTTCAGTTTCAACTGAATATGTCTTGATTTTTTTCGCTGTTTATTGAACTGGAACTGTCAGGTTCCTTGTGCTTTTTTTTTTTGCTTTTTTTTTTAGTGCTAGAGAACCCTGGCCCCATTGGTGTGCTATGTGGTGACATTTTCTTCATCTCTAGTTCTGTTCTACCTCTGAACAAAATGATTAAGAGAAAAAGTGCTTCTAATTTGGAGTCTCACTACACCCCTGAGTGTCTGTTTACTTCTAGCAGCCAGACCAAGATTTCTGTGTTAGGAACTGGGTGTGGGATAGTTGCCAGACCTGCATGACTAGAGGCTGACTTGATGTTTGGAAGGTGGAGCTCTATTAGCCATAATTTGATTTCAGCGGTGCTGCCTGGATTTTCTTGAAAGAGCGTGGAGAATGAAAAGTTTTTAGATTAGTTGGAATCAACCTAGAGAATTGAAAGCAAAAGCTATAGGGTGGGCAGATATGTTATTATTGCAAAAATATTACAGTTCTAAGTCTAAATTGGCAACTGTTTCTCTTTCTAAAATATAAAGCCAAAAAGTGTTTCCTAACACATGTTTTCTACCTATTAATTAGAATGGAGGATACATGAATCTGAAACCAGGCTTTTGATACCAATAGAGAAATTTCACTTTAAATGATGTTCTAATAAGAAATTTCACAGATGAGACTAATACAACACTAATACTGGTGTTAGGAGCACAGGACTGCTGTGAAAGTGAAAACCTGCAAGTAAAAAATGTGGAGTTTTTTTCCCCGAGGGAACATCTGTCTAGAAATGTTTAGGTCTTCCAGCACAACTCTGATCAACTACCACTAGAAGCGGACTATAAAATCACACTGGACAAGCTAGAGATTCCTAGAGAACATTTTATTCAAATCTGCAAAAGTTAAATTCGCAAATGTGGAGGGCTTGTTCTGTCTCTTTCAAACTGCAAGAAATGTCCTTCTGCATCTTGTGGGGAGAAAAATACATTATTTAGATGTAATAGTTCATTTGGAAAAATTGATGAAAAGGGGGGAAAGTGTATACCTGTAAACATAGTAGGGAACAGTAATGGAAATGTGTGATTTGTGTTGAATAACTTCTTGGGGTTTAATGAGAGTGGAAAACTAGTCTATCCGACTGCATATTCCATTACATTAGTGGTGGGCAAGTGCAGAAGGGTAGGGGATGGCATTAACTTCCCAGGAAATGTTGGAGGGCCACACTCCTTTCTCCACATAGTCTGTAGGGGAAAGGAAACATTTTCCCCATATTTTGGGGTCTTTTTCAATTGTTTGACTGGGGGAGATGAGGGAGGTCCAGGCATGGTGGGAATACACTTCACACCACGCAGAGAGCTTGGGAGAGCATTTTATAAAAATGGTTTTTACTCTGGGAAGTGCGCAAAAGTCAACTACAGGCTGTACTCTTCCTATTCTGCATTAGATGGTACAGTAATCCCAGTAAAAAATCTTTGCACTCTTTGGTAGTCTTGCACTTCATTTGTCAATCATCAGTCTGGCGTACCTGCATAACAATAATTCAGATAGACTAATTAAGAGGACAACTTTGTATTTAGAAAAGCAACATTTCTTGAATATTCAGCTCTGATGCCACAACTGAACTAAATAGTTCTTCATGTTCTTTTTACTTTGATTCTGCAAATATCAGCAAACCGTACTAAAATCATTTGAACATGAGCAAGGAGTAAGTCTGTGTCAGCAGGCTTTAGTCTGTTGTCCACACTTACACCATGAGTTCCTACAGGAACATAGCCTTTGTATGTATAGCTATGGCTAAGGAGGCTTTTATTGAATCTGGAATCCCAATAATGGGAATTTCTGGATTGTGTGGAAGGCTTTATATGTACCACTGTTTGTCTGTAGGCTCCCCTTCTACAGATATTAATGCTATAAGCACAAATACCCTGAGGTAGGAATAGACAAGTGGTCCTTAGTACACCCCCCCTGCTCTCATGTAGTAGTGTACAAATTATAAAGGCTAAATAGAGTTATAGAAGATTAGTTTCTTTCCCTATGTTTCTACACTGTTTAGGGGATTCTGGAGGAAGCCTCCATTTACTTTTAATTCCAGGCTATCTCTGTTAAGATTATCTGAAACAATTGGTACAGGGTGAGTGTCTTATTTTTGTGCACAACATATTGAAAGTATTTGGAGCTTTCTCGGGGACAAGAATCAGATGTATTGGGAAGAGGTCTGATCAGAAAAGACCAACAGAAAAGCCTGCATTCCGTTTCAGTAATTCTAATTTTGTTTGTTTGTGTTGAATTTGGACTTCCCTTGGATGCTTCCTTAGGCAGCCCCTTTAATTCTTCCTTTTCTTTGAGTTTTGATTCTGGAGATCCTGCTGTTTTCTAGAGTATATCCCAGTCCAAGTGCCAGGGATATTTTGGAAACCTTGTTTTGTTGTCCATGGAGATAGTAAGAACCCTAACACTTGTTCTTCATTTTTTCTGTCTCAGGCTGACAAACGTGCTCACCACAATGCACTAGAGCGGAAACGTAGGGACCACATCAAGGACAGCTTCCACAGCCTGCGGGACTCTGTGCCATCGCTTCAGGGAGAGAAGGTGAGTTTATTGAGAGAAGTGATCTCTTTCCCCTGAATGCGGCCAATCAGTAGCAAGAAAACTACTTCCCAGTCTCTTTTTGGGGTATGTTTATTAAATGAAAGAGGGACAAAAACAGTACAACTAAGAAGGCCATTCTGTAATGGTCCAGTGTAGTGTATTTGAAGTTACATTCTAGCTGCTTTACAAATGTATAGTTGGCATCCTTATGTACTAAAATAAAGGCAAATTCTTGCTATAACTAATTTTTAAAAAAGCTTTCTACATGGCTGAAAATCTTTGCCTCTTAGGAAAGTTTTTGGAAGGTGGCTTCTCAAGTGTGATAGGATGGTTCACCTCTGCATATAATGAGCACAGCCCTCCTACCTTCTGGTCTTCAGTGAGGAAACTGATTTAGATTTAGCTGATGACAGTAGTGTAGAGATATAAAAACAGAGCTCTCTGTTCAGCGGCTCATGTCAAAAGTCAGCAATTGATCTATTCCATGTGTATGTTTTTTTTTCTTTCTTCCATTGAAATTTGCTCTTGTTGAATTGCTATTTGAATGATTTCTGTGAGAATATGCCACTGTTCAATCTATGTTTAAAAACTTTACGGTGGCATATAGGATTATGGCATAGGAAATTCAGATAGGCATTCTTTAGTCTAAGCAGGGGGAAGAAGCAACCAAGTAGTCTGAGATAGTCTCAGATTTGTAGATAATTAAATATTATTTTGTATTTCTTTTTGTTTAGAATTCATTGCTTAGAATTCTAGTAGGTAGCACCTCTCTTTTCACAGGGATAAAGTGTCTGTCCTCAAAAGGAATGAGGAAATAAGTGTCCTCCTACTCATCAACAGAGTTGGCTGCAATAGCTCAGTACAAGGTACTTACCTTGATAGGCAGCATTTTTCATGTGCAGTCACCTCTGATGACACTGTGTCCTAGACATGGTCAAGGCACACCCATTTGTTTGTCCTGGCATGCTGACATTTTTTCAGAAATGGGGCCTAACATTTAATCATTGTTATTGTGAGTAAAAAATATTAGTGCAGAAACATTCTCTCGTAACTAATTTTTTTTATGGGAGTGTTGTGTTTGGCCTGATAGAGCTTTTGGTGGGTGCTGCAAGCAAAAATTTGGCTCCTAGTGCTGTGAGTATTGACCACTCTATTTGTAGTGCAACAAGTTTCACATAAAAATAATTTTCATTATTACTAGACTTGGACTGAGGTGTTAATGGTTTGCCAAATCAAAATTGATTAGCAGGATAACATGAAAGAATAATTGTCAAATTATAAATTATGACTTAGTCTGTCTCAGGACCTGGAGAGATGAGCGCTTATAATTAAATAAATCAAAGTACAGAATGACTGTATAGTAATACCCCAACTTATCTGTCAGCTTTCTCACATTTACGATTGCGAAGAGACGTCTCTCCACTTTATTAATTTGCAATAATATACCACCTTGCTGTCTTCTAATTTGTAAAGAGCGAAGATGGGAGGGAGAGAGATGGCTGTTTAGCTGGCCAATTTGCAAACGATGCGGGAGGAGGGAGGGAGAGATGGCTGTTTTAATGTCACCGAATGTTACCACTTTGCGATCAGATCTCACTCATTAGAGACCAAAATTATAAAGATCTATTGATCATTAATCAATGCTGCCACCATAACTTTCTTCTCAGCTATCCAAAGCTGCTTTAAAAATCTTCCAGGATAGAGTCACACTTGAGTCAGGATTTGTCGAATAATAATCAATGAAGTTTATTAATTAAAACAGGAACATATATAGTTAAAATTCTTGACTGTTTCAGCAAGCTGTGTCTTAAAGCGTGATGGTTACATAAATTGTTCTGTCTTTGTTACATAAGAGACTTTCTTTTCTCCCTTTACACCAGAATACTGACCAGATAGTTTGTCTGTCAGTAAATCCTTACAGCAGCATAGATAGTCTTAACTTAGATCTATCTTTCTACTTCTCACTATTCTCTCTACTGTTCACTTTGAACACTAAAACCTAACTCTTCACTCCTCTATACCTGACTTCTAACTCCAACCGACTCTAACTCTGACCCTGACACTAACTGACTGACTTCTAACTCTCCCTGACACTAACTGACTGACTTCTAACTCTCCCTGACACTAACTGACTCTTTTCAAACGCAGCTAGATTTTTTTTCTTTCTAGGCTCCGCCCACTTCTTTTGCTTGGTTTCCCCGGCAACGCCACAGTGGAGATAACTAGTTAACTCCAGCTTTTAGCCATTGCCACCCAGCAAACAGACAAACAGCTCAAATACATATAAAGCATTGATAACTTCCTTACAACGATCAATCCCAGACCAAATTCTTAACACGTTTCTCAAAATTATTCCCAGAAGTAATTTCCAACTTACTGTGACACTAAGGTGAACATACTGTGGTATAGGGTTTTCTTGACAAGACTTATTCAGAGGGTGCAGGGGAGGTGAGGTTACCTTTTCCTTCCTCTGAGACAGAGAGAGAGAGTGGTTTGCCAAGGCAAGCCATGGTTTCTATGGCAGAACAGGGATTTCAATCCTGATCTCCAGAATCTTGGCCCAACACACAAAATACTACATCTTGTTAGTTCTCTTTTTTAAAGTTACCTTGAATAAATATTAATTTCCTAAAGGGAGAAGATTTTATAATTGTGGGGTATCCATAGAAGATCTGTGTCCAAATCTTTTATTTCTGATTTTGTACTTGGGTTAAAATTAAAAGAGCAGTCTTGGTGGATTGAATAAAAGAGTATGGGAAGTTATCTTTGCGAAGCAACAACCTATAGAGTTAAACATGGACCCCTACTTTCAGCAGGAATTGGTGATTTGCTTTTAAAACTGAATGACCACCTATTGGTTATTGGCAGGAATCCAAAATGTAGTCTTAAAATTAACAACCATGTTATTGTATTCTGTAACTTGCATGAAGAAGTAGAGACATTCTCAGAATGTACATGTAATGTATATGATGGAAGATTTCCTTCCCTCTACTCAGTGAGCATGATATTTACAAACAATAGATAACACTTGGGTGTTAGTAGACAATTTCAAAATAAATTTGAGATCCTTCATCTTTGTTATGAAAGCCAGAAGCCAGTGGTTGTTGGAATGATGAAGTATTGCGATTATGTACTTATAGGTATTCCTGTTTTCTAGGAGACATAGCTTGAACTATACTTTTCCTGCTGCTCCATGTAGGCAAGAAAAAGTAAGACTTTCTGGTTTCCCCACATGTGGGGTACTAACCCTAGGACGCCATTTTTTCCTGTCTTGCTTGAGATAGTGCATGCTTATTATACCTGCTGGTTGTTACAACCACTTCAAACCCTTTACTGTCTTCTCTCTGAGACTTTTCTGTTCCTCCTTGTATCATTTTTTTAAAATCTTACCCTCTGTCCTAGGAGCTATTGAAGGATTTTTTCTGTATGAGATTAAGATTAGTCAAAATCTGAATAAATTGATAAAGAAGAAGGTATTTTAGATCAAATCAGGGGGTGCTGTGGTTTTTAGCTTTGAATATGTTTCTATTGATTTTAACTGTTTTTTTTAATACCACTGATATTTAGTTATGTTTTAATCTTTGTATATTTTAAATCGTATTGAAATACTTTTAATGTAAGCCACTTTGAGTCTCCTTGTGGAGAGAAAAAGCAGGGTATAAATAATAATCATCATCATTATTGTGGCAGTCTTTACTGTGGATGGTCCAGTTCAGCACCAGGGCTCAGGTGGTGTTTGTTGCAGTTAGGCACAGACTTTTACTTAAGAATTGGAATGTCGATTCATGCTCCAAACAGTTTCTTGTGGAAAACAAGTATGCAAAGAAAGCTGGAGTTCTAAGTATGAGGAAGGATTAAAAGAAGAGCACAATTTCCTTTGTGCTTCTAGAACCAGTCCCTTCCTTCAGTTTTCTCAAGCCAGGGATTCTAAAAGCTTCAGGCTACTGTGAGCGGAACAGAGACTTCATTCTAGCACCAGCCCTCACTTCAGCAGGCCACCCTCAGTCTAACAACAATGGCAGAGGACAACAAGCATCAGTAAGACTGTATATTTGTCTTCTGAAGTATCTTTTTCTTTGGTTGTAATAGTGACTGACCTCCTAGGGTTGGCTTCCCCACTCCCCAGATGCAGACCCTGGAAGGTTTTTCCTTTCTTTGTTTGCCCATCTAGAGGAATTGGAGGAGCATAATCCAAACTACAAGAAGTGCCTCTCTTATCTGCTAGAAAACAGACATACCACAGTTAAGAACCAATGTTCCCATTTCGTCATTCTGCATTATGAACCACATTGGACAAAAACGTGTGAAGGAGTGACATACAAATTTTCTAGTGTTGATGCTGAGAGTGAGTTTGTTGAAGATATGTCATTGTGGTGCAAGTGGGAAGTACTGTATTTACTCAGTTGTAATGTGCAGGAGACTGGACTTCACCAGATGGTCAACACCGAGATCAGATTGACTACATCCTTTGCAGCCAAAGGTGGCGGACATCCATCCAGTCAGTGAAAACAAGACCTGTGGCTGACTGTAGTTCAGATCACGAACTTCTTATTGCTCAATTTAGAATAAAACTAAAGAGATCAGGGAAAACACACAGACCAGTTAGATATGATCTCACTAACATTCTTAGTGAATATGCAGTGGAAGTGAAGAACAGATTTGAAGGACTAGATTTAGTAAACAGAGTCCCAGAAGAACTATGGACAGAAGTCCGCGACATTGTTGAGGAGGCGGCAACAAAGTACATCCCAAAGAAAAAGAAAACAAAGAAGGCAAAATGGCTGTCTTCTGAGACACTGGAAGAAGCCCAAGAAAGGAGGAAAGCAAAAGGAAACAGTGATAAGGGGAGATATGCCCAGTTAAATGCGCAATTCCAGAGGTTAGCCAGAAGAGATAAGGAACTATTTTTAAATAAGCAATGCATGGAAGTGGAAGAAGACAACAGAATAGGAAGGACAAGAGACCTCTTCCAGAAAATTAGAAACATTGGAGGTAAATTTCAGGCAAAAATTGGTATGATAAGAAACAAAGATGGCAGGGACCTAACAGAAGCTGAAGAGATCAAGAGAAGGTGGCGAGACTATACAGAAGATCTGTATAAGAAGGATAATAATGTCGAGGATAGTTTCAGGCAATGGTGTGGTGAGTGAATGAGAACCAGACATCCTGAGGAGTGAGGTTGAATGGGCCTTAAGAAGCATTACTAACAACAAGGCAGCAGGAGATGACGGGATCCCAGCTGAATTGTTTAAAATCTTGAAAGATGATGTTGTCAAGGTGATGCATGCCATTTGCCAGCACATATGGAAAACACAAGAATGGCCATCAGACTGGAAAAAAATCAACTTATATCCCCATACCAAAAAAGGGAAATGCTAAAGACTGCTCAGACTTCTGTACCGTGGCCCTTATTTCTCATGCCAGTAAGGTAATGCTCAAGATCCTGCAAGGAAGACTCCAGCAATACAAGGAGCAAGAGTTGCCAGATGTACAAGCTGGGTTTAGAAAAGGCAGAGGAACCATAGACCAAATTGCCAATATCCGTTGGGTAATGGAGAAAGGCAGGGAGTTTCGGAAAAACATCTATTTCTGTTTTATTGACTATTCTAAAGCTTTTGACTGTGCGGATCATAATAAATTGTGGCAAGTTCTTGGTGGGATGGGCATACCAAATCACCTTGTCTCTCTCCTGAGGAATCTTTATATGGACCAAGTAACAACAGTAAGAACTGACCATGGAACAACAGACTGGTTCAAGATTGGGAAAGGCATACGGCAGGGTTGTATACTCTCACCCAACCTATTCAACTTGTATGCAGAACACATCATGCAATGTGCTGGGCTTGATGAATGTAAGGCTGGGGTAAAAATTGCTGGAAGAAACATTAACAACCTTAGATATGCAAATGATACCACTTTGATAGCCGAAAGCGAGATGGAGCTGAGGAGCCTTCTAATAAAGGTGAAAGAAGAAAGTGCAAAAGCTGGGTTGCAGCTAAACATAAATTAAAAAAAAAAAAAACAAGATCATGGCAACAAGAATGATTGACAACTGGGAAATAGAGGGAGGCAGTGACAGACTTTGTATTTCTAGGTGCAAAGATTACTGCAAACTCAGACTGCAGGCTCAGACTGCAGCCAGGAAATCAGGAGACGCTTACTTCTTGGGAGGAGAGCAATGTCCAATCTCGATAAAACAGTGAAGAGTAGAGCTGGGCCTTAGGGACGGCAGAGCGAAGGAAGATAGATGCTTTTGAACTGTGGTGTTGGAGGAAAGTTCTGAGAGTGCCTTGGACAGCGAGAAGATCCAACCAGTCCATACTTCAGGAAATAAAGCCTGACTGCTCATTGGAGGGAAAGATAGTAGAGGCAAAGATGAAGTATATTGTCGAAGGCTTTCATGGCCAGAATGACTGGATGGTTGTAGGCTATATGGCCATGTTCTAGAGGCATTTTCTCCTGACGTTTTGCCTGCATCTATGGCAAGCATCCTCAGAGGTTGCGAGGTCTGTTGGAACTAGGAAAATTGGGTTTATATATTTGTGGAATGACCAGGGTGGGACAAAGAACTTTTGTCTGTTGGAGCTAGGTGTGAATGTTTTAACTGACCACCTTGATTAGCATTTGATGGCCTGGCAATTTTTTGGTGTGGCTTGTTAGTGCCTGGGGGAAATCTTTTGTTGAAGGAAGAAACCATGAAAATGAACAAAATCTGGCTACCAGTATTAAAAAAACACTCTAAAATTACAACAGCAAAACAACAGAGAGGAAACAATCAGGGACAGCTAATCACCTTGCCCTTCACATGTGGGCATCTAACGGGCTGTGCCAATAGAAGAGAGGGTCAGGGCAGGCAGAACGACGTGACACGCAGTGCCCCAACACTATGCTCTCTTGGATGTGGCTCCACCCTGCTGTTGTGCGAGGCTTAGCAGGCTGCGTGTGCACTCTGGCTCCAGAAAGGGGGGGGGGGCAGCCGGAGCGTGCGTGCAGTTGGATCCAGAGGGGTGCTGAACAGCTCTTTGTAAGAACTAGATGTTCTTGGAGATGGTGGGGTCAATACTTTTTACTGGTGCCTTATACATTGTAATACTTCAGGAAATATTAAAGAAGACTGACAAATTGTATGTAAAATCAATAGCATATTCATGTGCAGGTATGTGTTTGCAGTGATCCTGGTTCAAGAACAGAATGGATAAAGAAGGATAACGAATTCAATGGTGTGATCTGGATGAAGTAACACTGAGTGAGATTTACAAATTGTCATGCGGCATAGTGTACAACCCTGATATGAGTGTGGTCCTCTGTATGAATCTTGTGGAAAATAGTTTGCCACTATCCACCAGTAGTAGTTCTCATTCTAGAATAATCTGAAACAAAATTATCATATATGTAGATATTTTTAAAGCTAGTGATTTATTTGGCCTATGTATTTATCCACTTTAGCTAGTAATCTGGACCAAATCATTTTAGTTTTTGTCACTAGAACTTTTAAAAGCAGAAATAATTTGATATTACATTAAAAGTGATAATTTGTGGAGAGAATATCATGTGCTCCCTTAATCCAGAATGGTGTTTCCTTCTTTTTTGCATTTTAAGCAGTGATTAGGCTGTATGCTCCTGTTATATGATAATAAGTAGAAAAATCAGAAAGTAACAAATACAAAATGTGTCAGTTCAAAAATTGTATCTAAATACTATATTGTTATTTACTTTTATGGTTTAATCTTTTGCCTTACTCTTTGCTGTATCAAAATTAAAGTAAAACTTAATTATGTGTGAATTTGGATGCCATTCTACTTCATCTTCAACTGGCAGAGCAGGAAGAGGAACAGTTTCCACTCACACCTTCAGCATTTACATTGATGTTTGGAGGTAGATTTTTTTAGAGATGCAGAGGACAAAAGAAAGGAAGGAAGGAAGACCGACCTGTGGCACGAGAAGACTTGTGCCCATGTAGAACTGGGCTCAATTGGTTTTCCATTTCTCTTTTTCAATGCTGTTTTAAACCTGTTTGAAATGTGCTAAAATGCACCTTGGAATTTACTGAAAATCTACTCTCCTGTTTCCATTTCTGAGTTGACCAGCTAATTTCTGGTGTTTTATGCAATTTTGCAAGTCAGAAAGATTGTGAGGTCTTGAAGACTAATGTTAACCTCAGGCAATGTTTGGAGGCATTTAATGGGGAGTTTCTTTTCCAAAATATATGTTTTTTAAAAAATTGAGTGTGTGCGAAACTCAGGAGGAATTAGTAGCTACAGACAGTTTTGGGAGCTATAATATCACCGCGCCTAACATAGAGATATCTTTTTGTCAGTAGAAGATAATCCGTTTTTCTTTTTTCGGATACTTTAAAATAAAATATTTATTTAAAATAGTTTTTATTTTTGTTTTTACTGAGGGTGGTTGGTGGGTTGTGCTTTCCCCCTTATGTTGAGAAACTATTAAATACTCAGGTGAACTCAGATAAAGCCAACCAAAATTGTACAAACAATTCTTTGAACAATTCTTGTCATTTAAAATTGTTTATTTTTATTGTTTCAGTTTGACCTTCACCTATTGACAACATGTACCTTTAGTAAATCACTGTTCACAATAAGGAGCACAGAACAAAATTCTGTTTCTACTGAAACCAACCCTAGCAAAGTTGCTCAATCCTGCCTTTTGAACAATATAGCCTCACTTTTCCATCAGCAGGACAGGTTTGTCTCTGCTTCACTAGACAACCCTGTCTTCCAGGAGGGGAAGCTGTATTGTTTAAAGAGCAAGGTTGAACCACCCCTAAAATCCAGAATGGAAGAACATGTTTATGGTGAAAGAATAGCCATCAATTACAGTTGTAGACATATTAAGCTCTGAGTCTAAACATTAGAAGCTACCAACAGCCCTTATCTTATTTCTCATTGAAGATGAGTCTCCTAAACATTAATTTTCAAAATAAATGTGAATGTTATAATACCAATGTATGCCAGTATAAGTTGCAAATTATTTTGAAAAACTTTGAAAAAGCATTTAGATAAAATTCTATGAAAATAGATCAGCAGGGTCACTATCACAATCAGTAAAAGTGAATAATACATGTTTAGGATACTTTCTAGTGTGCTTAAAGAATTCTTATAAACATGGGAAGAGTGTAAGGTGAAGGAAATGATTCACATACACAGCTCCCCCAGGAATTTCTTAAGTTACTTCATCAAAATTGCTTAGTACTTTGACTACATGTCAGTCCAAACAGTTGCGTCAACACAAATGGAAAACAAATAAAGAGCTGAAAAAAGAGACCCTTATTCTTGAGTCTGAAAAAAACCCCATGTGATTTCTAGAGTTGAACTTTTTATAAATGTAACATAGGTTTTCAGATTGCATCACAACAAAATATGGTCTACATTGAGCAATTGCCTCAAAGGAATATCAGTGTAGCCATCTGTGTGAACTAGGACTTTATCTGGTATGTTTTTTCTTACTATTGCAACAGGCATCCCGGGCCCAAATCCTAGATAAAGCCACAGAGTACATCCAGTACATGCGTCGGAAAAACCACACACACCAGCAAGATATTGATGATCTAAAGCGCCAGAATGCACTTCTGGAGCAGCAGGGTGAGTACCTTAGATGCTCCCCTTAAGGCCTTATCCACACTTTTCTTTGCAAATAGGCTGTCTAGTGCCTAGTGGAAGACATGAAAGGCTTTAAAAATAACTTTTGAATGAAGTCATAGTTGGGATGAAAAGAGTCAAGAACTTTGGGTGATGACAATGCATCATTCATAGCGACAGTGGAAACTTTGAAGGTGGGAAGACCCTCCTATTCCAAAACTCAAAACATGTTACTCATATGGTGATTATGGTTAAGCCAATCAATTGGCCACTGTAAGTGATGGCAAGTCCTCATTTTAAGGTATACAGAGAATAAATTCAGGCATTTCCATGTAATTTCCGTTGTCCCATACCCAGTAAGTCAGTATGGGCATCCTAAAACTGGCCATATTTTATGGAAAGGTCTGATGTGGTGATGCTTGCCAAATGCAAGTGGTGATGCTTGCCCCAAGGCCACCTGAGGCACACTCTTTCTGCACCTTAGTGCAGATTCAAATAACCAGTTTCTAACCACAGAAATGAGTGGGGAATAGTAATGACTCCGGAAATTGATTTTTATCGACCAACATTGGTCAAAGTTCTATTAGGGTTTATCTGCACCAACATTTCTCTTATGGGTACTGATGTCCAATTTGGGGTACTGTGGGAATTGGTATTTCTTCTCTGTGTGTTGACCAAAACTCCTCCACCTGGTCAACTTAGAACAGTGGCTCTCCACCTGTGGGTCCCCAGATGTTTTGGCCTTCAACTCCCAGAAATCCTAACAGCTGTAAACTGGCTGGGATTTCTGGGAGTTGTAGACCAAAACACCTGGGGATCCACAGGTTGAGAACCACTACCATAGAAACTCCTGATCTCAGCCTGTATGGGTATAATATTCTTTGGAGCAAGTAGGATGGTTTGGAGAAGCATCTGGGTACATCTTTCATACCAGATGTGAAATGATACCTGCATTGAGATCTGTTGGGAGTCTTCTAAATGTGTTAGCACTGCTGTGATCATTGTACCTCTGTCAGGTGGGAGGATGTAGCCAGGTACTCCCTCCAAACTTACCTGTTTATTGTGAAACTTGAAACGGTGGTGCACAGTGGTATTGGGTTTATCAGTAAGTTGAGGAAAAGATATATGGCTCAGTGTAGCCTAGTCTATGCATGGATATTTGCACTGCAGTGATACTGAATTATCAGTTCATCAAAAATGTGTTATTCCTTTGCTAATAACTTTTTAAAATATTTGTGTTCCAAGTGTGGGATGTAAATCTAATATTGACAAGACCCTGTCAATGAAGTGCACATATATAATTTTCCCCTATTATCAGCAACATTATGAGTCACCTCAGCCTTTTCCTGTCTGTTTCCTTATTCTTGGTCTTGCATTTTAGTTCGTGCACTGGAGAAGGCAAGGTCAAGTGCTCAGCTGCAGGCCAACTATTCCTCTTCAGACAACAGCCTCTACACCAACCCCAAGGGCAGCACCATCTCCGCCTTTGATGGCGGCTCTGACTCCAGTTCAGAGTCTGAGCTGGAAGAGCCCCAGAGCCGGAAGAAGCTTCGTATGGAGGCCAGCTAGAAGAGGCCTGATTTCCCGCTGCCATTAGACACTTGCTGGCTGCTTAAGGACTTTCCTCTTTCCTCCYCTTTAGTAAAGGCTCTCGGACTGCAATTTCTTCCTGTTCCTTGTCCCTTTCTGCCCCTTCTTGAGTTWAACCCATATTATGGCATGGCAGCTTAYCTTCAGGAAGACCCCAGCAGCTGTAGTGTGAAGCAGGATGSGGATTTCTCTCGTCCTGCCCTGTGGTTGCACATCTCTAGTRCCAGGAATGCCCAGGSCATTTGATGAACTCCATGAGTCTGTAATTGCCTGGTYGGGACAGGGAGCTCTCTATTCTTCCACTAGAGCCACACCAGCCTCTCTGTTGCATTTTTCCCTGACCAATCTTGATTTATTTCTTGGTGGGAGGGAGCACAGGATACCTGTGTACATGCCTCTTGTTTGAAGTGACAGTGCAGGATTCACGGTGAAGCAAAGAGATGAACTTCCTTTTTGTATCTTGGCAAATGATTAATTGGTATTTATTTCCTCCTATGGAAACTCAATCTGGTCAGATTCCTCCTCTTCCTGCGGACCTTAGTCTTATGAAGCAACAAATTTTCCCCATGAACAATTTTTCCCTTTTTGAATTTCTCAAAAAAAAAAATAGAGCCAGCTTTTTAAATGTAAATACACCACAAGCTTTGTTACTTGGTACTAATAACGGCGTCAAAGTGTGACCTCTGCCCCTGGCAACTGGGCCAGTTTCCCACGTGGGTTCTGGGGGCATGGGTGGAGTGAGCAAAGGCCTCTGTGCGTATGTGTGCATGTGCACGCGCATGTGCATGGGCGTGCGCATGCATGTATGGGTGTATATGTGTGATCTTATATTTTTGTCTTCTTCCCACTCTTGTTTGTGATGTTTTCTGAATTTAGTGTATACAAATGTAGCTTGGTCTCTGTCCAGGTGTGAGTCTATTCCATGGAACCGAAGTATGTTGTACATACTGCTCAAGAATTGTCTTGCAAGTTAAGGCTTCCCTTTACTATAAGACTATAAATAAATAAAATATTTTATCCTTCTGAGTGGTACTGGTGTCTTTGTGGGAGAATTGTTAGCAATAGTACTTTGCATCAGTTGGGAAGATAAAATGTTAGGAACTGAAAAATGCAATACAAAAGATGTTTGGGGAAAGAGGCTTTTGATTCTTTTTACATAGCTATATATCATTTAGTAGATCCCACTGCTTGGAATCCAAAAGCAGCTCTCAACACTTAGGTACACTAGGTATGTAACCAAACATACATGCTTCAGTAATTTTTTAAAAAATCACATCTTGCCTTTGCTCTGATACAAGACCTCATTCAGCTAAACCAGTAATTGATGTGCAATGGTGTGAAAGCACATTTTCTCCATTGGATTCCTTTCCATCCCTATCCAGAAAACCAGTTTCAGATCTTGAATAGGTCTGGGGTTTTTTAATGTCATACCTGGCTTGGCCAGGAAACCATGTTCTGACCAGAATTAGGTTTTGTTTTATTTATTTAGCACTAACAAATGCACAACCTACATCGGTTTTGAGTTTTGTAGGTTTAATTTGAATCATTAGTACATTGAGAGGAGCTGCTTTTAAATATGCAGATGTTCTAGTATTAACATGGGCTTATAAGGATTTAGTGGATTATCTATTAGGGCTAGAATGTGACATGGATGCTGGAACTTTGCCCTGCTCCCAAGAAAGCTGTAGGGAAAAATATAGCCTGATTTATATTTCTCACTTTCTGAGCTAAATTCAGACATTAACTCTGGTCAGTAATGTTATGAAGCAGTAGATAATGCAGGATGGCTGTAAACTTAAAACCCATTAGATTTAAGAACTTACTTTGAGACAACACTTTTAGCACCCTATACAACTGCAGTTCAGACTTCAGCTTGAAATGCTTTGTTTGTTTAAAAATGAGTAGCCAGTTCTTCAACTAAATCACAGCTGTCTTCTTCTATTGTGCTTTTGGAAGTGGCTACAGACAACTTGAATCCTTTAAGTAGTGTTTTCATTTTGTTCTCCCCATTGTTACTCTTTATATTTGTTGCCACATTACCCCTTGGTAGCTGCTATGTATCAGCTTTTGCCAGTAAATCCAGGTTGGTTATTACTGGGACACAGCATTTGGTTGCTTTGATCATAAAACTAGTAAACAAGATCACATTTTTCTAGTGGAATGTTTGCCAGATGTCGAGATACTAGCCGGCAGGCCAGGATCAGAACACATATGAGCTCAAGCTTATTATATTTGAGATCAAAATGTTGTATTAAAGTGCCATGTTGTTGCACAGGTATCATTGTATTAAATAGAATAGGCATGTATAGGAAATTCTTTGGCAGAATCACATTTTCTGGTAATGCAAAAGAAGTAACCTCTTAAGTGCTTCTGGTGGTTAGAGGTCTACATCTTTTGATGTTCCACAGGGCAAAGTATTCCCAAACAAGAACAAAAGTGAAGTTGACTGAACCATTTGCAGAACAGGAGTTGCCCAAAGGCACTTGATCCTCCAAGTTCAACTCCCAAACTCCTCTGCTGCACCAGCTCCACTGGCTGCCGATTTGCTACCGGGCTCAATTCAAAGTGCTGGCATTGGCCTTTAAAGCCCTAAACGGTTCTGGCCCAACCTACCTATCCGAATGTATCTCGGCCTATCAGCCCACCAGGACCCTAAGATTTTATTTATTTATTTATTTGATACACTTGTATACCGCTAATATCTCAGCCTAGAACGGCGACTCATTGCGGTTTACAGCAGTTAAAACAATCTACAATTTAAAAACATATACACATATAATAACAAATTCAATAACAAATTATTGGGCCACCAAGATCTTCTGGGGAGGCCCTGCTCTCTATCCCGCCTGCTTCACAGGTGCGGCTGGCGGGGACGAGAGAAAGGGCCTTTTCTGTGGTGGCCCCTCGGCTTTGGAACGCCCTTCCCATGGAGGTAAGATCAGCCCCCTCGCTGATGGTGTTTCGAAAAAGACTGAAGACCTGGATGTTCAAACAGGCATTTGGCTAATTCGGTACAATGAACTGATGACTAAAGGATTGGTAATATGGACGATGAAATTGGATTATGATTTTAGTTAAGAGATGCACTGGATTATTATCGACGGGCCAATATTGTCTATTGTGTATGTTGTTTTTTATGGTTTTAAACTGAATATTGTTGTTGTACTGTTGTAAACCGCGTTGAGTCGCCAATTTAGGCTGAGAAACGGCGGTATACAAGCACAGTAATAAATAAATAATAAATAAAAGTCTCAATAAATGGAATTCTAGGAGCCATAAGGCCACTGGGGTGTGGAGGGAGGTCATCCCGTCTGCATGAGTCTATTTTAAATCTATGGGTCCATTGATGAGCAAGCTGAAACAGAACATGGTGCTTAGCTCAGCTAGATGGTAAAAGACGTCTGGCTCAGGAAAAAGTTATGGGGGACTATTTTTTTGGAGATTGCATTTGTTCATCTTGCCTTGTCCGTAGATATAATAAAGATTTGTTTTCAAGAAATCTTGAGATAATGAGTGGAATGGGGATTGCTCATGAATTGAGGAAACCAAAGCTTTCATATTTTATTGTATACATGTTTGATCCACTAATATTGTGTATTGCTATCTCCTGAAGTCTAGCTACTGTACATATTCAAATCCAGAAATTTTAGTTACGAAATCGACCCCAAAAACCTGGGTCAACATCTACAGGTCAATGTAAGCACTATACCTTAATTCTTAGCAAAAAAATAATGATGGGGGGGGGGGGAGATTCACTTCTCTGAGTACAATGGGGGAAAGTGACAGCTCAGTACATATCACAAGAACATGAAGCACCATCCCCTTCCAACATCTTTGCAGCAACAACAGATTTCTGTCCTTTTTGAGGACATGGATGAGACAATTGCAGCAGCAGTAGTCAGGGACATCTCACTCCCTGAGGCAGCACTGACACTTTACCTTCTCAGTGTAATAATCCTCAAATAATCCACACGTCATATCAAAATCTATAATTTTGGCTCCAAAACCTGCCTTTGACTTACATGAGTATATACGATAATTGGCTTTTATCTTTCCAGTCACTAGTTGACAACAAAAATCAAATACATAAAAATAATTACAACAAAAAAAACATAATGACAAGTCCTTAATTCTGTACATGCACAATTAGGTGAGAACTAAGGCATGCTGGAAAGGACCCTCACTGTCCTAAGTCCCCCATGCTGTAGCACACCCTGGTTGTACAGGAGCACTGCTCCCTTCTTTGCAGGTCCACTTGGTGCCAATGCTGGCTTCTTGCTGCTGGCAGGTGAAAACGTGGCCTTATCTTGAAGTCTTTGGGGGCAGAGATTTTCCCCAAATGAAGCTTTTAATTTGTGTGAACCATTTAAACATTTTTAGACACTTAAATTAATCCCCATTGGTTTAAATATAATTTATTAAAAACATTTTCTCTATGGTGGCATAAGAGCCTTTGCAGATTTTTAAATAATTCATGGCTAAGGATGGATTTATTCTTTGCATTCCTATAATGGAAATTCCATTACTATTATGGGAATGCAAACAATTAATCAATCCTTACCATACAGTTCAACTGGTCCAACTCAGTGTAACATGAGAAGTGAAAAGACCACAGAACATTATAAACCTTTGAAAATGTGCCCCTGTGTGTTACAGAAGAGGTAAGTGCTCTTCAGTCCTACAGTGCAATTATTTTTCCATCTCTAGTATTTTTCTGTTGCTCATGCTTGTGTTTAAATTACCAAAGTAAGACCATACCGGGGAAAATGTTCTTAGCAGTTAAGATCTGAATCTAGTGATGCTGGTATTGTTTGTCATTATCTGTACAAAGATACAAGTTTTATAACCTTCTAGATCAGTGGTTCTCAACCTGTGGATCCTCAGATGTTTTGGCCATCAACTCTCAGAAATCCTAACAGCTGGTACACTGGCTGGGATTTCTGGGAGTTGTAGACCAAAACACCTGGGGACTCAGGTTGAGAACCACTGCCTAGATCAGGAGTTCTCAAACTAAGGCCCAGGGTCCAGATACAGCCCTCCAAGATCATTTACCTGGCCCTCGCTCAGGGTCAACCTAAGTCTGAAATGACTTGAAAGCAAACAACAACAACAATCCTATCTCATCAGCCAAAAAAGCAGGCCCACACTTCCAATTGAAATACTAATACGTTTATATTTGTTAAAATTGTTCTTCATTTTAATTATTGTATTGTTTTTAAGTGTTTTTTGCACTACAAATAAGATACATGCAGCGTGCATAGGAATTCATTCAAGATTTTTCAAATTATAATCTGGCCTTCCAACAGTTTGAGGGACTGTGACCTGGCCCTCTGTTTAAAAAGTTTGAGGACCCCTGGCCTAGATGTTGCTGGTCTACAACTCCCAGCGACCATAGCTAAAACAGCCAATGCTGGGAATTCCAGTCCAACACCATCTGGTGATAAAAATGGGAGTATTATTTATATAAATCAAACCAGTGGTGAGCCGCCTACTAGAAATTTGTCAATTGCTAATAAGCAGGCTAGTCACTGCCAGAGATAATTGACTCGGAGCTAGTAGTAAGGGAGGACAATTTTTGATCCCTAATTTTGAAAGTCTTGGCTATAAGGAGGCAGCATCAATGTGGCAGTGGTCATGAAGCTGGAATGACCTACATGAATTTATTTATCGTGTCATCAGCAACCAGACATTTGTATTACATTTTAACAAAAACAAACAGACAAAACACAGAATTTGCAAGCTTGGTAGTTGATTAAATGTCCTTTGACCAGTAGCTGACCACTTGGAGTGCCTCTGGTGTTGCCGCAAGGAGGACCTACAGGAAGGAAAGTGCACAGTCGTATTGGCCATTGCACTATTGTTGGTGTAAAGCCCCTATACCTTCTTAAACTTTTTCCACTCATGACCCCTTTCTACCTGAGAATTTTTTACATATATAAAATAGGTATATTTTTGTGTACAGCTGAAGCATTTTCTGCAGAGTCCACAATAAAAACACGAAATGTTGTTACTAACAGATTTGTGGAAATTGATGAAGTTTAGAAACATTTTACTGTTGCGAATTTTTTCGTGATCTCAACATTGAGGCAAGGAGACTCATTTAGGGCCAGGAACCACAGTTTAAGAAGCAGTGCCCTTTACAGTCTACTCTTTGGAATGAGAAGAGACTCTGGGTAACACTGCAGCAAGTTGCTGGCAAAAAAGTAAAGCTGATGGCTAAACAAACAGAGGCAGTGTCAGGAGAAGGTACATCTTTCTAGTTTTAATGTCAATGATTGCAGCAGTTCCTGGCTCTCTGTATCTCTTTCACATTTCCTTCTCTAGGGTTGCAGCACCCAGCCACAGCCTTGCACAGACGAGAAGGAGATGACATTCTTTTCCTGCTTCTTAGCAGGGGGTTGGACTGGATGCCCTGTGAGGTACCTTCCAACTCAAGGATTCTATGACATGCTCTAGGCTGCTTCGTTTTGGGGATATGCTCAGGTTTTGTGAAAAGCTATAGTAGCTGGCTTATAAGGACACTTCTAAAACCACATCATTAACACCAGTTGTTTCTCAACTTTTAGAAAGCAGAATTGGGAATCTTCTTTCAGGAAGACAACAGACCCACACCAGCGTGCATATAAGTGGTGGGGCAGGGTACCCACTGAAACAATTGTAGGCAGGAAGAGGAATCAAGGAACCGTTTCCCCTCTTAATGGCAGAGGGAAATCAACATCCTGGTTTTAAAAAATGGAACAACAGCACAGGATGAGCCTTTATCTCCAGCAACTGTAACTGTACAAAATAGGGAACTTTTCTAGAGAAAAAACTACCAAGTTGGTCTCAAGCCAGCCAGAAGTTTTTTTAAAGAATATGCAGAAGTCTTAAGCTTTGACAAGATAGTTGAGTGGCTGAAAAACACCAGACAGTGAGGGAGGCAGTAGTATTTTAAAAGCACCTCCTATGATCCACGGCCATTACATTTTACAGAAATCTGTGGTCCCTCATTTTTAAAGTCCTCTATAAAAACTTATGTGATACCCTCACAGTGATCTGCTTACCTCTTGTCAGCCTGCTGGGTAGCAACGTGTGTATGCACATGAAATGGGTTGCCCTGAGAGAATTACACCAAGAGCATATGCCCCCTTTCACACACACACACACACACACTAGTTTGGGAACCCGGTGGTGCCCAGGTAATTTGAAAAGGGCATTGTTTGTTTTAGGGTGTTAGGTATATGATTTAGTTAATTAGTAACACTATTTATTAGGAAAAAGCCAGAATGTGATTTCATGTTTTATTAATGCTCCCATTAGAAAATACATAACGATGTGGGTGAATTACAATCCCCAGAATCGTGGGTCAATCCTCCCCAAACCAGGCCTATATGCACAGTTGGCCAAGTTTGGTCCAGATCTGTTGTTGACTGGGTTCAGTGCTCTAAGGATAAAGGAACTACAACTCCCAGATTTCCAGGGCAATTACCCCCAAACCCAGCCAGTATTTACAGTTGCCCATGGTGGATCTGTGTAGCAAGTGTGGTCCAGATCTGTTGTCAGCTGGGTTGAGTGTTCTTGGGATGCAGGTGAACTACACCTCCCAAAATCAAGGTCATTTCCCCAAAACTCCTGCAGTATGTTTGGTTGGTCATGAGGCTTCTCTGTGCCAAGTTTGGTCCAGGTCCATTGCCGGATCCCTCCAGTCTGTTCAGTTACTGTTCAATTCCTCTTTTTTGCTGTGTGCCATACAGAAGGTTAGGAAAGGGTTAAGGGAGAGGCAGTGGGCAGAATCATGCAAATTTCACACAAGGAACCCTGGTATGCCTGCCTGCGATGGAGGAAACATGTCAAATCAAGCATGAAATTCTCCCCAAATGAAAGCATTCCTTGGGTGGTGGGCTGCAGTGTTTGAGGAGGACATTGGCAGCGTTTGGCCTACATGTTCATGGTGCTCGCTATAACCTGCAATGTCAGTTGAGGGAGTGCCTATGGAGGCTTCTCAGCACTTGGAACTATAGCCTGTTTGTGGAGGCGGTAGGCTGTGTAAGTGGACACCTCCTCCACATACACAAATGCACATATTTTAACTTTTATTATGTGTATCTATAATATATGTATTTGTGTATAGCGCAACTATTCGGAGATATAAGGCATTTATGGTGAACAACCTCAGAAACAAAACTTGGAAATATTGGTTTTTGGTGCTACAACTCCCCGAGTCCTACATCCAGATATAGTTAGAAAAGGAACTTTGCCCAGCTCCAAGAGGGCACATTATAATAAGGAAAACCAAGATAAGTATTTATCACAGTTTATGGTGCTAATCTTGAAGAGCAAGTTGCCTGTATTTTCTATGCCATTCTATAATAAAGGATGTCTCTCCTAGATATTTACCCTTAGTGGCTCTTTAATACAGAGCATGTGTTTGCCAAATGTACACAAACATCTCCCTGCAAATGTTTCCCCTACAAGGATCAAGAAGATGCTGGCCTGCTCTGGTTACAACCCCAGCTACTGAACAGCCTTTTCTCTGCTGTGTAGGAGGTTCTCTTGCTATTCAGACTTCGGCCTACACAGCAGCTGAGCCAGTCCTGGTACAATGGAAGCAGCTTCTCTATTTCCTCATCAGCCTGTAGCATGAAGATCGGCAAGATTTAGTGAGGAGGCTATGATCTCTTCCTGGAGAAAATGGCAATTGTGTTGTTAATTTGTGCTGGCTTTCAGGCAGACATGAGTTCTGCACTTGATGGAAATTTGCACATAGTTGCCTGTTATAATGTAGTCTATTTTTGCTAAAGAGCAGAACAAGTAGTGCTGAAGCTTCTGCCTGAATGCTCAAAATGCCTGCTAGTCTCTTAGCTCCCCCTCCCCCCCTGCCTGCCCCCCCCCCCCCTGCACCACCAAAAACAACCTGGAGATTTCACAAAGTATTGGCTTTCAAGACGACCTCTTTTGTTTTCTACCAAGTCCTACAGATTGTTCTGTGCTTGTCTGGAATTGAGAAGTATGCACACACTTGGCTTTGAGATTTAAAAGTTCCTGGAAATTTGAGGTAAGAGCCAAACTTTCCAATTAGCTGTTCCAGTTTAATAAATTCACTGGACTGTACTAGTGGAGAAGATAAATCCAGCAGAAAGAACAGAGGGCAGCCTCTCCTTCCCAGCAACTGAAATATTTCCTTCAGAGGGTTAAGAAACTCACTCACCCCAAGTTGGTTTTCAGGTGCAGGGATTAGGAAAAAGACATTATCCCATGCTAGTAGCGGAATATTCGCATTATGCTATATTTAGGCATTCTTCTCCTGTATCACCCACAACAAGGTTTTGTTGTGCTCAAGGGCTGACAATGATTTCACTAATCTCCACTATGAAAAGCACATGTTTTAAACTTGTTCCTGTCCTTTCTCACTGAAGCTGTACATCTGCAAATGAGCTGTCCAAAACCTACAGATTTGTAAATGGATAGGCAATTTTTAAGTCATCGCCCCTCTTATAAAATTCAGAATTTGCCTGAAGTCTCCCTCCAGTTTCTCCTTCCAGATTAACCAACTGATTTCTGAACATTCAAGTTGGTTTGGTGAGTCAATGAGGTTAGCTGTCCGACACCACTCCACTGTTTTGATCTTCCACCCAGAATTTTAATTAAAGGACTTTGGGGTCTGCAAAACAGGGTTTGGAGACTGCAGCCATCTTTTTGTTTGCCTTTCAAACAAACATGAGATATTCAGCGATGCCCACCACTGTCAGGAAGTGCTAGGAGGTAAATAGATCAAAGAGTTTTGTGTACAATCACTACTGGACAGATAATAAGAAAGAAATTAGTATTTTTTAATAAAATGCACAGACATCATTACATAATTGTCAATCCCACCCCTGGGCAAACTAGTTTCATTTGCAAGGAAAAGGATTTTGCACAGATACATACTTCTTGCCACTGCCTCATTTTGTTGAAGGCAGAAAGAGACCTTTCAGCAAACTGAGACACAACTCTACAGTGTAACTTATGCACGCTATTCACTTTGTGTATCTTTTCACACGTTGATTCTACCCATGCTCAATCCAATCTCTTGGCTTGCCGTACTTAGACAATCTCGGGGATTATGAATGGACAAAAAAGACATTTGCCTGTAAGGGGATGGGATGAGGGCACCAGCTCTCGCCATGCTGGTACACAGCCAAGTTAGAAAGCTGCCCTTCTAAGATGCTTAGTATAGTGCAAATCAAACAACAGCCTTGGCCTGCCAGAATGCTAAGGGATATTAACATGCTGCACTATTTTCAAAACCCCAAACTGCTCCTGCTTTCCAAGGGCCCAGTCTCCTCACAGGAGCAAGCAGCACCCATATCCAAGCATATACTGCCGCCGCCACTGCTACACAAGCAGTGGAAAACAGAGGTTTTTGGTATGGCCAGCAGAGCCCACTTGAAAGTCACACATATAAAAGTTGAGCCCAATTTGGAAAAAAAGAAACCAAAGTTAGCTCCATGGCTGGGCCTCACCACGACCAGGAAACCTTCCAGCACCTGTGGGCTGAACAGCTGGACGAGAGCCTGCAAGAGGCCTATCAAGGCAGTGGCCCCCTCTCAGTTGGTAGCACTTTCCTCTTTTGGGCTTGGGACAGGCTTCTTCAAGAAGTGCATCACCGCTTGCACCACCTTGTCAGGGGAGATGTTGTAGACAGGATGGGTAGGCTGCTGTTTAGAACAAAACAAAGTCAGATTTTAATGTTGAAATTGAGTATAAAAATACGAGGAGTATAAAAAAGTTATTATTATGAGTCTGGTCCCCTATATTACTGTAGCAATGTTGCAATTGAGTATAAAAATAGGCGGGGTATAAAATAACATTATTATTATTATTATTATTATTATTACTAGTCTGGTCCCCACTAATACTGTAGCAAGAGAAACCAAGGAAGTTATGTCGCTTAATCAACTCTATTCCCATATTTAACATTTGTTAGATGGGGGATGTGCATGGATTAACTCAACTTCTCAGTCTCCACAATTTCTCCAGTGAACTCAAAATGACATATGCAGCTTCCTTCCTTCCTACTTCAATTTTTCCAACATGTGGAACAGTCAGCCTGAAAGAGGGAAGCCTCCCCATTCCTCACCTTTTTGCCTGTACAAAGATGTATAGTCACTTTGACTACATCTTGCTGAGGTGGAAAGGAAGGGAGAAGACCTTATTCTTTTTCAGTCTTGGTACAACTTACCAGACGATTCTCTGGCACTCCTAAAACAACTTCATTGAGGAGGTCTCCACTACCAAAATGCTGCGCTATCGATAGTCCGCTCAGGCAATAGCAGGTATGGTAAAAATCCCGTGATCTGGAGAAAGAAGCATGCATGAAGCTGGAAGCTTGGGTCTTCTAGAAGTGTACATGGATATATGTACTAATTTTAATGTTCTACTGGAAGCAAAGCTATTTTAAAATATGTGTATGAAGGGGATTAAAAATTGAAGCTAAATGAAATGCTGCTCTTTAGTTGAAGAACTTGTGTGGTGCGGTAGAGCTTGTAGAAGTTACTGTACGAAATTCTCACAGAATTCTCCAGCGCCAGTGGCCAGTGATCAGATGTGTGCAACATGGGATTTCAGGCAGGTACAGAAACCTTTTGGGACTCCAATTCAGCACCTCGAGCTTCTCAGCTTTCATTTTAATGAAGCAAGTTTCTAACATAGCCATATATATCTTTCAGCATTTACGCCCTGCCTTTCTTCCATGAGACTGGCTTCAAAGCAAGGATGCCCAAGCCGTTTTGGGGCAAGGGGTGGACCAAAATTGTCATGATGCATATTTCCTACTTGTAGAGATATTCTTACAGAACAATGAACCCACCAACTGAAATGCATTAAAGTAATCACCAACAATAACTGAAGCAGGAACCAATGGCAAGATCATAAATGATATATTGCAAAACAGAGTAAATAAAAATATATACAACCTACTTATCAAAGCCAAGGGAAAGCAGTATTAAACAAATACACAAGTGCCTGTAAGACCTCCTTACAAATCCATCTGTCCACTATACTTACTTTAGAGCACTGGTTCCCAACCTTTTTTAGACCAGGGACCACTTTCATCAGGGACCACTCTCCAACATTAATACCGAAAGGGTTACGAATCAGTTTTTGGATTTGGTTTGGTTATATGGAGTACTGATTCAGAAAATTGCATTGGATAGACCACATCAGCTCTAGTTTCTGATACAGAACATATGCCATCCAGTAGTCGCCATCAGCTTGCCCACAGGAAACCAAATTTAATAATCTAGAGCTGATGTGGTCTATCCAATGCAATTTTCTGAATCAGCACTCCAAATAACCCCAGGAACAGGCCCAAAAACGAAGAAACCAAGAAAAAACTTTTTGGTTGGTCTGTGTTATTATCCGCATGTCTCACGGACCCAATTTTAGGTCTTGCGGCCCACGGGTTGGGAACCACTGCTTTTGAGCAACATAACAGCAGTTAAAAAACAGAGGATTGCAGACCTCACTACCTCTGAGGATGCTTGCCATAGATGGAGGTGAAACATCAGGAGAGAATGCCTCTAGACCATGGCCATATAGCCTGAAAAAACCTACAACAACCCAGAGGATTGCATTCATTGTGCTCTCTCTCCTTCTCTCTCTCAAAAGACAGACATGCATTGCTACCATGTTTAAACATGCATTGCTACCTGCACAAAACCTGGAGTTACAGGTATAGTGAGGTGATCACATTTATCAATAACAATGCATTATTTGGAGTATGATACCAAACATGTTTGGAAAAAGTTCCAAATGGATATCTCTCAGCTGAAGGAATGGACTCTAAAATGATAGCTGAATATTAAACAAAAAAAGTGTAATGTGATGTATTATCATGGAAAAAAAATCCCAACTTCAAATACACATTGATAGAAGTGATCTTTTGCCAGATCACTAAGGAATTTGTGGTTGATATCTCTACGAAAATATTAACCCCGTATGTGACTGCTGTTAAAGAAGACAGAAAAAGCAGAACTTGGGCATTACTTGGAAAAGGAATCAGAAATAACTTTTCAGCATTCTGGCTACAGAGTCCAAACCACTAGATGATGTTTTCCAAATTAAGACAACTTTGTGCTTTCTCAAGGTCACCAATAAATGCAAATAAATGCCTTTAATCAAGACTTCTCCAGCACAGGGCGTTTACTTACTTGCCCGGTTTATCCAAAAGGCCACCTGCAGGACACTGGCAGCAGAGCAGGATATATTCTTGCAGTGCCTCCTGGTCAAACATCCAGTGTGTCATACTGAGGGCAGGATCACCTGAGAAGTTAAAAAACAACAACACAACCCCAACTGAGTGTTCACCCATTCCAACAAGTGGTTCAAGCACAGGGTGCCAGTGTGAACCTACTAAAGCTACTGCTGAGATTTATTGTCATAATGCCTCCTTTCAACCTTTCCTTGCTTCTTCCTTTTGACAAGGGGAAAGAGCTGCTACTGCTCTGAACTACCAGACTTTACTGGCAGAATGTGAACAGGCAAATGGTTACAAAGGCAATGGGTGGACAGAAAGAAGCAGCAGTTCATGAAAAAAGACAGTTTGAAAGGAAGTCTTCCTGGAGAGTTAACTAAATATGGCTAGTGACAGACATGATTTAATTATTTTTTAAAACCTATTTGTGAAGTTACATTATTTATTTATTTAGTATATTTATATACTGCCTTTCTCATCCCTGGGGGGGACTCAAGGCGGTTTACAACATATTGATGACAAGAATTCAATGCCAGCATACACAAAATAAAATAAAAGCACAATAACTAAACACTGACATATAACTATAAATTAAAATCATCAAGACTATTAAACATAGACATATACAACATGTAAAAACTAGGAGAAAGCACTAAAACATCCTAATATAAATATTAAAATCACATATGCAAAAATCGTTCAGACTACCATTCTACCTCCAAGGCCCAATTTCTGGAAGTCCTTTGGAGTCTTCTTTTGCTTTCCTTTTTAAATCAAATCCATACAGCAAGCATATCATTTTTACCCCATATTGCTAATTTCTAGTTTTGGTGGTTAGCATAGGGAGGTTTGCATCTCAGACGGTGGTGGCACCTTAAGGATTATGAATGCATACCCTATTCAACCATGTTTAGTATAGTATGGGTCCCACTGCCTGAAGACTCTCCTCCAAGCTGTGTGGTTATGGCAAGGGATTCACTATGACTCCTATCCCACAGTGTGTTGCTACAATGGTCCTTAACTGTCCTACATTTTGGGCAGGCTGACTCAATGGAGAGCAGCACCAATAGGTCTGTGTGACTAGTGCTACTCTTTATGAAAGCTGCAGTTAGCATACATACCTGAAGTCTCTTGTTCATGCTAGGCTTCTGCATTAGGGAAAACAGGGACAGGGAAGGGAGGGCATAACCAGGCACAGACAGTGCACCTGGGGAGGCATGGACAAGTCTGTGATGTTCAAACTTACCTCTGGCATGCAGCGCTCGATGTAAGAGAGGCAGTAAACCAGCCTGCCAGAATGAATAGCAGCCATCAACCAGCTTGTTACAACGCCCCTGAAACCCACCTTCAAATCGCATCTGTCGGCTCGTAACCCAGTGCTGGGAGAAGAAGAAACAGTCCATGTTATTCCTTACCTTACACTGAACGAATACTTATGGGTGCAATGTACTCAAGTTCAAGAGAATATGTGCCCTCCCTTTCATACCGAATGGGTCTACTGCAGAGAAACCCAATGTAACCAGGTTGCCAGATATACCAAAAATGGCTCTCAGTAATTAGACAGAAAGGAGGAAACAAGTCAGAAAACACAAAGAAAAATTAGAATAGCTCTGTATACAGTTCTGTATAAAATTTGGATTTAAGATATGGATGGATTGGTAGAATAGCCTAATGGAAAGAATAATGTTCTCAAAGGCAGAAAAAAGGAATGAACTGGCAGAGGGCTACATACAGCTGTCATTTTTGCTTAAAAATAAACATATACATTCCAATTAACCTCAGAAAATCACCTAAGTCATAATCAAATGCATATAATATCTTTGTGCCAGGATAAAAGGTGGTATTTTAAATAAAAAAACAAAACATTTCTGCAAGTTATAATGGTATTTTAGATCGCAAAACCTTTGGTTAGTAATAAAGGAACATCAAAAGCAATAAGAAATATGCTTTGAAATGTGGATGAGAAGGAGAGGGCTAAAAAGAAGCAAACAGCAGGTCTGAGGAGAACAATTATTTGTAGCTTGAAGAAATACAGACATTTTGGCACTACGACAGTCACAGCACAACATGGTCCTGGAATACATAAACACTGAAGTAGAGTCATGCAGAAAAGTGGCAGAATACTGACAAATTATGACTTACCAACAAACTTTTCAAATTCAAAACGTGTTCACTTTTCAGAATGACCAGCGCTGCTAGTCCACAGAAGGTGTATCCTCCATGTGCCTCCATACCAGGGACACCACCAATACCACCTTCCCAATTCTGACATCTAATTGAAAAAAAAAATTAAAAACACAAAACAAGATGTGCATTCTTAACCCCAAGACAGCAATCCCAGAAAAATCTCAGTCCTCCACTTAAGCCTACCACTAGCATCTTACACAGAAGCTCTCAACTTCAATGCAAGGATTCAGTATGTTGCTGGGATAGTCCACAGGATGGTCTGCTGTGTCACTGCAATAGACCCCAGGAGACACTGCATCCTGGTCACTGCAATAGCCTCCCACAATGGCCACTCACGGGGGGGGGGGGGGGGAGGACTGGAGAAAGGATACTACGATGATAATAATAATAATAATAATAATAATCATCATCATCATCATCATCATCATCATCATCATCATCATATCCCGCCACCAACTCCCCAAAGGGACATGGGGCACCTTACAAGGCACTCCAGGGTACACATAAAACATAAAACAGGTAAAAACAGTACAAAAGTATAAAACAAGTCACATAAAATTATAACAATCCTCCCATCCCCGGTCAGGAATACTAACCAGGAATATCTTCCAAGATCTGCTAAAATCCTCTGAAAGGGGTCTGTTGTCATCAATCTGTGTCTAGCTACTCTACTCTCTACCAGCAATTGAATGGCCCTGGGGGTAGCTAGCTTCATAGTGGGGGATGAGGATGACAGGGGCTTTGGTTGTTGTGTAGGGAATACTAACCTCCACATTGATAAACTACACACACACATATTTGATGGAATTACACTTGTGTATGTCACTAAAAAGATGGTGACCAAAGAATGCCAGTTTTCCTAGGCAAACAAACAAAAAAAGAGATTTCTTACCTTGCTATCCATTCTGCTGTCCTTTCAAAAAGAGTTGGTGTAATAATGTTGGTAAGTGAAGCCACTGATGCAGCACAGTAGGCACTCCTAAGAATTAAATGTAAGACTAGTTAAATTGTATAGATGGTTGTAGAATGCAGATTTGATGCTACTGAATGAGTGAGAGCTCAACACTTACCCTGCACTATACCCTAAAGCCACCAGACCTAATTGTGGAAACTCAGCAGGGTCAGCTCTGATTAGTATTTGGATGGGAGACTGCTAATGAACACAAGGTGCTGCAGGTTATATTTCAGAGGAAGAAAATGGCAAAACCACTTCTGAGGATTCCTTGCCTTTAAAAAATCCTTTGAAATTTATGAGATGGCCATCAATTGACAGGTGACTTGAAAGCATATCCACACACATTCAAAATGCAGCCACTGCTGTAGTTATAATAATACACCCAAAACTGAATTTGAAGTCTCCCCTTGAAGAGGCATTGGCTCAAAGTAGTCAGCTAGCGCGATGTACATCTTTGATCAATGAGGAGAAGACAGTAACTGTGGATTGTGCCTGATCGGTATCCCTCTATTAATCTGTAGATTCAGTGAGGCAGAATGCGTGATTTGGTGACTCACGTGCACCACTTCTCAAACTCTCCTCCTGAGGGTGGGGGGATAGGGAATAACCAAAAATCACCTCTTCCCACTCCCTTGGAGGGTACCAAATGGATCTGGTCCCATCCATCTATTTAGGAAGAGGGAGGTTAGCAAAACCAATCTTGAGGAGTCAATAGGAACTGAAGTTATGCAGGAAGTTGAATTCAGAAGTTTATCTCAAAATATCAGACTGATGTTACCAAAGGACCTGGGGACTTTGATTTACATGTATAGCTGCAAGAGGCATGGGCAGTTATAAAATACCTCTCTCCCATTCTTCCACAACTTTCTTCCAAGGGAGGAACCTTCATTCATTTGCTTTGATCCTGCAGTTTACACGGCTGAATCTACGCTGTTAAGTTTTTAAAAAATGGTTTGCTTCTTCAGCTTTAAAAAACTGCTTCACCAAGAGAAACTCTGACCATGTGTGCCATTTTCCCCATCTACAAGCATATCACTCTGATGAGTCATAGTCATCGCCCTTTTCTTGCCAAGCTAGAACTATTTAACATCACCAAAAATGATTAGAAGCAAGTCACAAGCTCCCCAATGTTTGATTCCAGAATTTTTTTCACTCTTCTCATCTAGCTACGCAACTAATATCAAGATAAAACACACTTTTATGGTCATTTCTCCAGAAATATTTTAACAAGGGAAAGCTGTTGTTTGGCATTAAACAATACTTCCATTTTCCCAACATACCTGACATCTACCTCTCCCCCTATGTGCATGATGAAGGAGCCGTCAGGCTGTTTCAAGGAATACAAATACTCTAGAAGCTTCTCCCTGGAAACCAAGATCAGAAACATTAGACAAAAATCAGACCAGTGACCTCCTCCCCACCCAAAAAGTATCTTCACCTAGTTCAGAACCAAGGAAAATTTTGGTTGCTGGATGTTTAAGGTGCTGGGTATACAATAAAATCAAGGTTGTTCTGCACACACTGTGAGCCTAAGGATTCATTTTAATGATAGAACAAAGCTGTGCTCACAACCCTTATAGGAAAGTGTACTCCTGGCAAACATTGTTCACTTCAGAAGCTTAATTTACCAAGACAAAGCCATTCTGATTGACCATGAAAGAACTGGGAAACAGAAACCTTGCATTCCACCATAGGTCACCTAGAAATCTTCCAAAGAACGACGATTATCACTTTTGTGGTTGGAAGAATCCTGGAACATCACATAAAAATCCTGCAGAACACCCACTGACTTTTACTCCCCCTCCCATCTCAGCTAATAAAATGGCAGAGGAAGATGCTTCTTACTCAATATGACCATTGGTCCAATTAGCCTGGTACTCTTGAGGGTACTTGACACAGGCCCTCTGGGATCATTAGCTGGAATTTTTTTCTCAGGAAAAAAAATCTAGGCTCTTTGTTTCTACAATGTTACCTATCTGTTCCCACCTTCCTGGGCTTGTAATATTAAGGCTGACTTTGACATTCTGGAGTCTAGCTGTCATACCATTACCTTGCCTGGAAACTTGAATACAAATTAATATTCTCACAGAGAGAAACTTATTCTGAACATGCAGGACAGGACTGAAGGTCAGAGGTCATTACTGGCATTATGAGACTAGACGTTGGTATGTATCACTCATGGTCAAGCCCAATTTTAAAGGAATGGGATTTGACTGACTAGTGCAAAAGGATAAAGTGCAGAGTGAGACATATATAAGGTGGCTTTTTTACAGATATGTTGGGCTACTATTCTCATTCTCACCTGACAATGCAGCCAACAGTTTGGTGAAGGCCAATGCGAACTATAGCAGAACACTGGCTGGAAAAATGCTGAAAAAGAAAAGGCTGTTTCCGTGTCTTCTGCAGGTAATGAATTTAATTGTCTACCTATCTGAATAGGAAGTTTTATTTCTTCTAAATCCAAACGAATGCATATCCTTTTATGCATCTATGTGCCTTTTTAAAATGGTGTGCACATTTTGTAAAAAATGTATCTTGACTACAAGATGTTCATGGAAGATTAAATTTGTTTAAGAGATCTTCTGCAACCTGAATCTACTGCATGTTTAAACCACACTTTTGGTGGATGAAATATCAGGATAAAAACGACAAACAGCCCATCACAGGTTGCATGCTGGCAACATATGAGCACAAGAGGTACTGCCACCTGTCTTTTAGAGCATCTTTGGCCCTCTTCTCTAGGCCTGGAGTGCAAGAAAAACGCTGCACCGAATTTAAAAAGAAGAGGATCCAAGAAAAACTTTGCCTTCCCCTTGAATGAGCATGCTGGTAAAGATATACATAACCTGTTACCACATGGGAAAAGTACAGAATAAAGATACTTTGGACAGCCAGTTCAGGAAAGCATTATATGCTTTTTACTCCTAAAATGTTACTGAAGGGACTTTGGAAGATTTAAAGGATTTCTGAATTTCAAAAAACAATGCAAACGTAGATTTGTAGAAACATGCTGCTTATGAGCAATGTTGTGAGTTAGCATTGAATAAAAATCAATGGAACAAATAACATTTAAATCAGAATAATTATTGAAAACATTTTTTATAAATAGCTTCCAGGCTTTGATTTTACCTGTTGATAACACTGTATGCCTCCTCAGTGCCGATAATGCAGAGAGCATTGACAGCTGCATAAGTGGGCGCAAGATGTGGGTGCTGGCCAGGCCCCCCTCCAAAGCCTCCACTGGGGCTCTGACAGCGACTCAGAAACTGGCACACACTGGAAAACCAAGGTTAGTTTAAACAAACAGAAAACACCAAGCCTTCAGTTGTTTGGTTTTTACTGTTCTTCTTCCAACCTCGCACGCCCACACATGCACATTCATTTTCAGAGCCGAGGCATTAAACCCATTTCAGATGTTGATGGAAGGGTCAAGGAAAGTGCAAACTGAATTAAAAGACTGTAGGTGGCAAGCATTTTGCAAATCATCACCGGTCTGACAGGATTTCAATGTTGGGTACTGGTGTCTTTGCACAAGACATGGAACAAATAGCCTGCCCCTCTTCCTTCTTCTTAGAGCCATAGAGTTGGAAGAGACCACAAGGGCCATCCAGTGCAACCCCCACCGTGCAGGAATCAAAACACTTTAAAACAAATGGCCACCCTGCCTTTGTTTAAAAACTTCCAAAGAAGGAGACTCCACCAGATTCTTGAACTCTTAGTATATCTCTCTCTAGAGCTCCTGCAGATCCCACTTGCCTCTCTGCAGATTTGCAAGGTTCTTCTTCCTCTCTGTCAAATCAACACCTGTGATTGGTTAGCATCAACTGGCTCAACTTCTTTTGTGGACACATAATGGCTGGGCACTCTTTCAGTATTGAACAGTTTCTCTTTCCTGCAGACAGCTTTTGGTTGCTTCACCCCAAGTTCCAATATCTCACATATCTTCTGCCTGACAAAGGTGATCTTCCCATGAATTCTTCATAAATTCCAGGGCTCTGCCTGGTGCTGATTTTATAGGAGAGCCATTCCCAGGTCTACACAACGTTTATGCACGCTGTTTCTTCTGGACCTGCTGCTGAATGCTTTAGCATGTGATTTCAGATACTTGCATATTTTATCCTTAACAGTCTCATCCACACTCAGACCATTCTATTAATTCCAATCCTCCCACCTGCTTGCTTTCCCCCAACACATCATGTAAGTCAACCACGTAAAGACCACCGAAGTACAGAGGGACTTTCCATGAGGATGGCCACCAGGTCATGAATGAGCTGTTGCTACTATAAATACCAAGATTCTTTGAAAAAGCTGAGATTTGCATTGATAAAATGACTATGGCCACCAAAGAAATCACAGTTCTTCAGGGTATAAAAACTTCTGCCTACTTGCGATTTCCATGGTCTTCCCACTTGTGGTTTTTGTAATCCATTTATTAATGTAAGTCACCCTGAGAATAATTACTTATAGGATCAGTAATAAATTGCAATTATAATCAGAGTATTAATAATGTATAAAAAGAAACATTTCCCCTTACTGGGCTGTGCCACCGCCACCATCTATGGTGATCACAAGATGCACAGAAAACATCTACTCAAGAAGCAACTATTGAGAGGTTATTGTTGGAGTGAGATGAATGAGACAATGAGCTACTGTATTTCAAAGAAACATTCAACTGCATCAGCAGGGACACTGGGAGGTTAGGTCAGAGAGTCACACACTGCGCATAGATAATGAAGACTTCTGGGAATTCATTTCTACTGTAACTTACAAGTGCAAAAGTACAGCATGAGGCCATTTCAAGTGCTGTGGGCATTGTGTGTCTTCAAGTCATTTTTGACTTAATAACAACCTAAAGTGAAGTTATCACAAGGTTTTATTGGCAAGATTTGTTTAGAGTTTGCCCAATTTTCTTTTGAGGCTGAGAGAGTAGGATTTGCCCAACCAGTGGTTTTCCTTAGCCAAGCAGGGATTCAGACCCTGGTCTCCCAGAGTCCAAGGCCAGCACTCAAAACACTCCATCACACTGGCTCTCGTTCAAACTACAGCTAGCACTCATTTCTCTTACTTGAACTTTTGAGTTCTGATTTCACTTTCAGCTGTCAAAATAGACAATCTTCCTTTAAGTAAAACAAAAAAGTGTGAAACCAGAGATTTCTCAAAATCTGCTTTGGTTTCTGTGCCTCCAAAAACCTGTATCATTTTTCAGTTTCTCTGAACAAGGGCTAGGAACTTAAAGGAAGGCATTGAGACTTAGAAGGCACATATTCTACTTCTTCTATTACAAATATGACTTGGAGCATGTGATTATATGTTCTGCTAGAAGAGAGTTTAGGAGAGAAACAGAGCTTACTCTGAAGCGACCGATTCTGAGATGGGTTCCTCCAGCAATTCCAGACTATGCAGGATCCAGTAGCAGAGCCAAGGCCGGCTGGCATCCAGACACTAGAAAAGAAGAAAACAGCAGCTGTTCAAACCCATCTCTGAAATAGCTGGGAAGGCTGCATTTGTCACACAACAGCAGGAGGGCACAAAAAGGGCACAAATTAGGGTGGTGATTACTGGGACAAAATCACTGAAAGCTAAACAGAATGTCTAAAAGGAGAAAGAGCACACAATTATGAGAGGAATCTTCATGCTACTTTAAAGATATTGTTATTATTTACACAGCATGAAATTAAGAAGGTCCACAGCCTTTGTTTTGCTGACTTAAAAAGTATCCTGGGACATAAGCAAACCAGGTCTCGTGGTACTTTTTAAATTCTGGATGAAAATTACACAAGTCTTGGCAGAAGAAAGCAAGATAAATCAAAGCCCCAGTGTCACATTAGCCCCAAACCAACTCTTGATTAGAAACACACAAAAATTGGAAAGACAATAATACAAGCTCCTTCAGCTTGAAGGTGTTATTACCTCATAGGCATCTGTCAATTGCCTTAGTCCTCTCTTCAGATAGTGGAAGTGTTTGTCCCTATGCAAAAGAAACCTGAAAAAAGAGCAACATTTATACAACAGATTAAAGTTTTGTAAAATAATTTATATGAGGCACAGATTTGTCAATTTATTCAGAAACATAATATATTTATATCTGTCTTATCTATCCACTCTGAACTTTGTTTGCAAGGGTTTTTTTTTTCTCCTAAGAATGTGCTAGATTAAACCAAAGGCCCATCTAAACCCGTGCTCTGGCCAGCATCCAAACAATGGCTTAGGCTTGCAGAAATGCCTTGTACTCACTCGGATGAATTTTTTAATCCCCCCACAGCATCCTCTTTGATAGTTGAATCCAAGACTCACCACAAACAACCCAAGAAAACCCTCTCACTTTCCCAAGTGCAATTTTCCATGTTGCACTTAATGAAAAGACTGTAATTATTTGATTTGATTTTAGGACGACACCATCCAGGATCTCCACTAACTAAATGGTTGGGGACAGTTGGAGCTGAGCCCACAAATAATTTTCCAAAGCTCTTGGAAAAATAAACCCTTAGATTCCTAAACATTTGACAGGAGCCAACTGGATGTCCTCAGGATGCTTATGAGCATGACACACTGAAGCTAGCCATCCCATGACCCTGAAATCTGAGGTGCACAAGTTAAACACAGGGACAGCAATCATATTACAGCTGGAGCCACTGAGACCATGGATCTGTCTAATCTTTCTTCAAAAGTCTTCTGGCATGGCAGCCATAGCATCCCATGATACTCAAGTCTGTATGTTGATTGCTGAGTAAATGCTTCCTGTTCTGGCTTGACACATGTTTCATTTGGATATGCATCTATCCAGACACTCAGCTCACATCCAGTCACTGTGAGGTCAATGAAATCTGAACATTGTTGTGGAATGTAATAACAGTAACTAAACAAAGAAATGAAATAATGGTGAAATGAGTGGCAGAATAAGTAGCCAGATGAGGTAAAAACATATAAATGGACAAGTCTGTTCAGAAAGAAGAAAAGAAGAGCTAAAAATGAGGTGAACAAGCCAACTAGAAAAGATTTGTAAGAAGCAACTAGATATATACACTGGAGAGAGAATCAATCCTTATTATTAACAACTAACAGGAATGCCCATTTTATACCTACTTCTGACTCACTTTTTAACTGTTGTATTAACCATTGTTTTAATGCTATTTTATTTTCACTTGCCACATACTTCTGTATAAGTCAATCTAATGTATAAGTTCATGATAGGTTTTGGTGCCAAAATTGTAGATTTTGGTATGAGCCGTGGATAAGTTGAGGGTCATTCCAGGTAAAGGGGAAAGCACCAATGTCACCTCAACTGCCCTGTTCACTGCCACCGTTTTCCCACCCAGGCATTCAAACGGCCAGAAGCAGAGCTGCAGCAAAGAAAGTAGAGAGGGCCGGTGTTTTTTTTAGGCTCTCCTGTGACAGACTATGCTCTTGCGTTTTGCCATTCTACTCAGAGACTATATCATGAACCACTTTAAGGCAGGAATTAAATAAATACAAGTCAGAAATGTACACCCTATTCTAAAGGTGGGTGCATCACATTAGCGATATATTTTGTATTAATACAAGTGAATGCAAGGAACTTCACTTGAGGAGACTTCCTTGTCCTCTCATTCACCTGTTCTAGTTCTCCCTGAGTCTCTGGAGGATAACAGAGCACTTCTCAACAATCTGTGATAGAGTAGAAAAGCTGTCCCCAAAATCTGCACACAAATCAGTATTGGCAGGCAAACTAAAATACACAATTCTTTGCAATCTGTTCTATTTAGATTGTGTGAGGAGTCATCACACAAGCACTGGACTACAACTCTAGAGACCAGGTTTCAAATCTCTGTTCTCAGTCTCTCAGACTCAGGGGATAGCAAATGAAAACTTCCTCTCAACAAACCTTGCCAAGAAAGCCTCATGATAGCTTTGCCTTAGGGTTGCTATAAATCAGAAATGACTTGAAGGTTACAAAAACAACACAGAGGGGGAAATGCTGCACAAGTATAGTGACTTACCTGTCATGATGATTTGTCTTGTAAGCATCAAAGACCTCTTGGACTATGTCCTCTACTTTTGTCTGCAGAAGTGAAAAGGGGAAGGGAGAAAATACATGTTAGTATGAACATGTAAACATCCTAAGATAGCAATGGGAAATTTGATGCTATGTACAACAGCTCCCACAACCCCTTGTCATTGGCTAGGCTGGTTTGGGTTAACAGGAATTACAGTGTTCCCTCACTTATCGTGGGGGTTCTGTTCCAGAAGCCCCTGCGATAAGTTTAAATCTGCGAATTAGGGACGCTCTACCCACTCGGCGGCAGCCTCCTCCTCCTTGCTGCCTGTGCTCCTGCCGGCTTCAGCGGCCCCTTGGGCACCGTTGATGGCACTGCCAGGCTATGGTGAGGCCTCAGCCCAGCCTGGCAGCACCATCAATGGCGGCCAAGGGGCCTCCAAAGCCAGTAGGAACACAGGCAGTGAGGAGGAGCAGGCCTGGCTCCCCCTCCCCTCCTCCTCCTCCTACCCACCCACTCCCACCCCCCGCAGCTCGGGGGGAATGAAAAAACTGCGATATGGCAAGTCCGCATAAAGTGAACCATGAAGCAGCGAGGAAACACTGTATAGTCCAAATCTCTGGGTGGCACCAGGAAATCAGTCCCCGCCAAAATGCATCCAGAGCACAGCACTGCCTAAGCAATTCCAATCACAACACAAGGAAGAAATATGGTATCGCATGCCATGTAACAAAGTGTCTAGGAACAGCCAAGAATAGTTACTAAAGAGGATGTCAGAACGCAAAAGAGCTACTGCAGCTCCAATTCAGAAACTCAACACAGAGGCTGATGCAAAGCAACACATTATTTGCTTTAAGATCTAAACTGAAGCTTCTTATACTAAGGAACCACAGATGCCGAGTGCCCTCAATGCCTTCAAAAAGTCCTGGGATCAATCTTTGGGATCTCCAGGTAAGACTAGGAAAGACCCATGTGTGAACCCTGCTGGTATAAAGAACATGGAGTTAGATCACCCATTGGTTTGACTTGAATGAAAGCAGATTTACAAGCACCAGCAGTAATCAAGGAACACATATTTCCTCCCCACCACTGTTGTATGCACTGATCACCATGCTCATTCCAAAAGAAGTCCCAACAGCTATGCTAAATGCCATGATATCCAGGATCCTTGAGTATGGACTGGTGGGATCAAGACAAGAGCTTGAAAATTTTGCTACACCAAAAGAAGTAGCTTTCCCAAGTTTCTGAGATCAAGATGAGTACTGTAGCCTAAACTTGATCTAGAACATGGCCATATAGCCCGAAAAAACCCACAAGAACTAAACTTGATCCATTTCCCCAATCTTTGAGAGACCTAAAATGCAGAGCTACCAAGTAATCATTAGATAAGACAACGTACACATTAACAGGCAGCAATAGACTACCACTTGCACACAATCTTGTTACAAATGTTTTGCCTGAAAATAAGAGCACTTAATTAAACAGCACCAGCACCAATTAGTATCAGTAATGGTAGACTGGAAGGAGAAGCTCTCGGAACACATGTTTTTCCTCTGGAATGAGAAGCTCTCAGTACACGAGACAAAATTTGACATGGACACATTCAGAAGACATAGCAATTCAATTTGCAGATTTTTCTACTACAATGTATTGTCGAAGGCTTTCATGGCCGGAACCACTGGGTTGCTGTGAGTTTTCCAGGTTGTATAGCCATGTTCCAGAAGCATTCTCTCCTGAAGTTTTCTACTACAGTTTACAGCAAGGGTGTGTTGGAAGTGTCTGTTTCCAGGTTTGCGGTAATAACCACTGAATGTTTATATTACTGACCTCAGGTTTCTTTGCTTATTGCCTGTGCCTCATCAAAACAATGGCCAACAAAGTCACCATGTGACAATGTCATGTATCAGCTGCCACTTTGATGGGAAGCAGATAGCGTACAGAGGCTTTCAGATTGAAGGTTTTTAAGAAAATGCTTCTAAGGGGTATGTATTGTTTTAAACCGTACTATTTTGATTTATTTTATCACTTTAAGTGTTTGTTTCTGCACTACTTTAGTATTATTAATGGTTTTAAAGAGTGGTTTTAGCTAACTATGAAAAGTGGGTCTGAGCCCAGCACGCTTCTCTACTGCCAATGTGCCAGATTCAAGATGCGAATCAGGTTTGAAGGCAATGAAGAAGAAATTTATTCAATCTTGTCAGAGAGAATATCAGTATAGTCTGTGCTCAAAAGGATCCTACATAAGGTTTATAGAGAAGCACAAAACATTTTATTCACTTTGACAGCTATTCAAAATACCCTCCTCTGATTGGCTGGAAAGCAAGACTGGTTTCAATGATGTCATCGGCTGAAGGAGCTTCCCTCCATGCCACGAGAAAGGAAAAGCTGTGATTGGTTGGTTTAAGGGTCAAGTCAGTTCAGAAATCTGCCCCCGTGAGGGCTGTGAATCCAGGAATTTGTCGATGAAAATGATAAATAGCCCTGTGATTGACATAAATGTCTAGTCCAAGTAAATACAAAGGAAGGAGCTCAGATAACACAATGGGCTTTTATGCAAATATACTCTTGACGATCTTATGATAGAACCAATCAGGAAATGGCATTTATAACCTAGGAACAAAAATCATGTTACATAGTGTAATGGATTTTGATATGACCCATGGATAAGTTATTCCATGAGGGGAAGGGGTGGCAGTACAATACTTACAGTGACTTGTGGATGTCAACCCACATTTTTCAGGTTAATTTTTTGACTAAACGTTCTAGACTTTTACACTACCATACTCAACACATTGTAATCATTTTAATGTGTGAGCTGCCTTAAGTTCCTATATGGGAGAAAGTCCAGTTATAAATAAAGTTAAACATTACTGTGAGACCAGATTCGCTGTAGGAAGCAAAGGAACAGGGAGAAACGAAGAACCACATTTTCATTTGTGCTCCACCTTTCTCCCAACACTGGAACTCCAAGTGGGTTACAAATAAAAATAAATACAATATAATTAAAACATACAGAGGGCCAACATTAACATGGAATTAAACTGCTGACAATATCAAAAAAGTCAAACATACAACCAAAAAATGTCAAACAGCAATCTGAAAAAACTTGTGTGCCAGCGAATCCAACAATGGGATTGGTGAGTAAAAAAGAAAAGAAGGAGCTCAACCAATTCAGAAGGCTGGATAAGCAAATTTCTCTAAAAAAAATTGGACCTGCACCAGCCTAACTTCAATGACTTGCCTAATACAATGAAATGGCCAGACCAAGTAGCCACAGGACAAGCTAAACAGAAAGCTAGTAATGACAAAAAGGGGAAATGGATAAGGGCTGCTATTGGCCAGCTCAGGCTGCAGATATCTCTTGGAGCTAGTAAAACAGAGTCAAATTCACAATCCCAATTGACATTTCTCTGCTAATCTGCTAACCACTCTTGTATTTTCTCACCATCTCTCAGATTTGAAAAATGCTCTCTTCTCCATTAAAGGTCAGATTCCAGAGAGAGACAACAAGCAGAGATTCCCCTTCAGAAACATCTCAGGCCTCCAGCAAGGAAGCTCAAGCCCAAACCAATAATCATGTCAACTGGATGACAACTGTAATTTCAACCACTTTGTCCTTAAGAGTAAGAGACAGTGAGAGCAATACAAGCCAGCAATTAGCCCCCAAATCCAAGACTGGACATGCTGGGCTTCAAATACAAAGAACTATCTTGCCAGCTGTACAGTATTTGTTCTGATTTGGGGGGGAGGACCATCTCTCCAGAATGTTTCATTTCCTCCCAGATTCAGAATGCTTGATTGACGGAAGTTCACAAACATTCAGAACATAACTAGAATTTTGAACATTTTTTTCTGGTTTCTTATACACCTTCAAGACAAAACACTGTCAAACACCAATTATTTCATAAATTTAAAAATGCACATTGCCCATCTAGACCAGGCAAGGAAAAATTACGGGCGTTTTGGGATTCAATTCCCACAATTCCTAACTGGCCATTAGGAATTGTGAGAGTTGAAGTTCAAAACACCTAGAGGGCCGAAGTTTGCCCATGCCTGATCTAGACAACTGATTACTGAATCCAGGTTTTCCCATAATTACATTAATATTTCCATTTTCTGTAAATAATTCTCATTACTTCAGCATGGACAAAGTTAGAACATATTAACGCAACAACATTATACACGGAACCCCCGGTGGCACAATAGGTTAAACTCTTGTGCTGGCAGGACTGAAGACAAACAGGTTGGAGGTTCAAATCCAGAGAGAGCACAGATGAGCTCCCCCTGTCAGCTCCAGCTTCCTATGTGGGAACATGAGAGAAGCCTCCCAGAAGGATGGTAAAACATCCGGGCATCCCCTGGGCGACGTCCTTCCAGACAGACAATTCTCTCATACCAGAAGCAACTTGCAGTTTCTCTAATCACTCCTAACACGGAAAAAAATTTACACAACAAACAACAATCCAGAACCTTATCAATTCATCGCCAGTCCTGTAAATTATCCCCTAGATCCCCCAAAATTGGCCAGCTCTAATCTTTTATCAGCGATTCCTAGCACCTGAAATAAATGATCAGGCAGACTTTTACTGACATTTGTCTTGAAAGAAGAAAATAAAAACAAGCATTTAAAGAAACCTCTCCACACGGTTTTAGTGTAATTACCACTACGGATATTTCTCAGCCACTGTGTAGTTCAATGACATTTTAGGTCTATGTTTATAATGAGCTTCTGAAATTCATAACCCCCAAACTAAAATGTTTCAATTCAGCACCAGTGTTTATGGTTAACACATTCAGGGAATGGACTGGCTTGATTTAGATGGACACAAAAATCTTTGTTGCCATAAGCCACTGAGGCACTCTGAGAAGGGTTTAACAGGCTATCCCCAAGATTTTCTGCATCAAAAAATTGAACTCATTAGTAGTGGAAAGCAAATGGTTTTAAGCTTGCATCTATGTGTTAATTTTGGTTATCTTCTTTACTACTAGATTTAGTATCAACAATTGTAAATTCAATTACAATATACCCTCCACATTCAATGGAGTTAGGGGTACAGGACCACATGAAAATAACAACACTGCAATTTTTAAAAACTTTTAACTCAAGGTAACGCCTCCCTAGAAATGTCTAGTTCTCTAGCATGACTCTGGACAACTTCTGCCTGACATTAACCATATATTTGCACTGGTGGACCTATACATGCCTAAGAAACTGTTGCCTCTAAGATTCTCTAGATCAGGCATGGGCAAACTTCAGTCCTCCAGGTGTTTTGGACTTCAACTCCCACAATTCCTAACCGCTGGTAAGCTGGCTAGGATTTCTGGGAGTTGAAGTGCAAAACACCTGGTGCTGAATTGAAACATTTTAGTTTTGGGGTGATGAATTTCAGAAGCTCATTATTTGCCCATGCCTGATCTAGATCCTCAAGGTTGATTCTATGGTCAAGGAGTCACACTGCTCGGCCTACAGATTCCCAGAGATATCATGTTAATCAAATATTAGAATAATCACATCCTAAAAAGTCAAACTCATGAATGTGAAGGGTTGACTGTACAAATTTACTGTATGATCTTTCTGCAATCTATGTATGAAACTACAGGCACCTCTTAGCATAAAAGTATTTCAAGCAAGAAGTTCAATATCACAGATTTTTATCACATATTTACCAGCCATTTAATAGCAAGAGTGATGACCTTCCCACCTAGCTAATCAGAAATTACTATAATCCATTAATCAGATGCCTCTCCTGTCTCAGTTTATTTCCAGGAATTGCAAAGTATACGTTTTCCTACTAAGTTACAGGGGCTTCCATTTCCAAGTTTAGAATGTCTTCCACTGAGTACAAACAATATAATCTCTCCATCAGATTATAGAGACTTTTAAATAGGTACTTTGACTCTGCGCGTAATATCACTAAGGTACTGTGGGGTAATTACAATACAAGACAAATGTGACAGCCTAACGGAATGGTAGCTCTGTTATGTTTGATTTCAGACAGGTTACTATATGAGTCAGAGAAAAACATAGATAGGAAAGTTGTTGAAGCATTTGTAGAATCCAGAAATTCGTTGTGAAATGAAATCTATTGCAGGCTAGAAAGGAATAATCTACAATCATGAAAATATGTGATAGACTACATCTGTTCATTTAAAGGGTGTTTTGTGTTCATTTATCTCTGTAACCCAGTAATGTAATGTGTTTGTGAAAAAATACATAGCACACATAAAGTACATGTTTGCTCCTGCCCTTTAAACAGCATCTTCTTAACTAGTAGTACCTTCAAGCTTAGGTAAGGTAAAGTGAAGATATTCCCTTGACATTAAGTCCAATCGTGTCTGGTTCTGGGGGTTGGTGCTCATCTCCATTTCTAAGCTGAAGAGCCGGCGTTGTCCGTAGATACCTCCAAGGTCATGTGGCTGGCATGACTGCATGGAGTGCCATTATCTTCCCGCAAAAGCGGCATCTATTGTTCTACTCACATTTGCATGTTTTCGAACTGCTAGGTTGGCAGAAGTTGGGGCTAACAGCGGGAGCTCAGCCCACTCCCCGGATTCGAACAGCTGACCTTTCAGTCAGCAAGTTCAGCAGCTCAGTGTGCCACCGTGGGCACCACCCTCAAACTTGGGTTGCTCAAATGAAAAAGAGGACAAATCTCCTGTACCTTTTATAAGTTTGTGGAAGAATGAATTTCATCCCAACCAGCATGAGCATTGGCTATGCTGACTGGCGATTGTGGAAGTTTTAATCCAACAATCTATAGGTCCCAAGATTAAGAAAGGACTAGTTTAGTGGTTATAATATTGAAAATATTTAATTTTGTGTTAAGTACAAATTTAGGAGCCAAAGACACCTAGAAATTCCATGTTAATAAGTCATTTGGTTTGAAGAGGAAGGACAAAATGTTCTGGCATTCTTCTGAACTCAACATGGAAATACATCCCTCCTTCTTCACAACATTTTGTGAGCCAATTTTGATTTAAAAGGGTGCACTACACAACAGTGAATACATATATTTGTATGCCATATTAAATATAAATGCCTGTGCTTCATAGAATCATAGAGCTGGAAGAGACCTCATGGGCCATCCAGTCCAACCCCCTGCCAAGAATCAGGAAAATCGCATTCCTAAGCTACACACTTACCTAAGCTTCATACTGTGAATCATCTGCATTTTCAAAAACATACATCTTTTTGTCATAAAAGTGGTCTTGTTTCAATAATTTGTCTTGAAACAGCATTGAAGTTTCTTTGTTGACAGGTCTCCCAAACCCTCTTCCATAACTAGAATGACACATTTGGTATGTGGTCTCATGGACTAAAGCCTGGTATGATTCCATTAATTGTAATAACTTTCAGTTGTCTATTAGCCTCAGTCACACAACAGGGGATCTTTCTGGTCACAACTGTGCAACTACATAATACTCGTACTACCACTTTTTTTTAAAGTGGAAACTTGCTGCCAGGTAATCTTACCTGTATATCCCTTCATCTTCCATCCAGAACATACCTGAAATTCATTGTCTATATCTGAGCTTGATGATCTGGGTATATCTGTTCAGACTTGTTGGACAGAAACCTACAACTTTAGGGATTTAAATAAGGTATTTCCCAGACCACAACACCTACCCAAGGAAGAAGAGGTGAAACCAGCAGATCTACACAACCTGAATTAGGAACAATCAACAGGGCAAAGCCAAAAAAGAATGCAAGAGAAGACCAGTTGTGGTTCCTCACATTCCTAGCCAAGAGCATAAGGGCTACATCACATCTTAGACCAATGGCTCCCATCCTTTGGTCCTCCAGGTGTTTTGGACTTCAGCTCCCACAATTTCTAACCGCTGGTAAACTGGCTGGAATTTCTGGGAGTTGAAGTCCAAAACACCTGGAGGACCAAAGGTTGGAAACACTGTCCTAAACAATGATGCCTGGCTGGCAAAGCAGCTTTTGCTTAGACAGTAATCCAACTTTATTTATTTATTTATTTATTTAATACATTTCTATCCCGCCTTTCTCCCCACAAGGGGACTCAGAGTGGCCTCACATAGGCATCAATGATGCTTACAACATATACATCAAAGAATACAATAAAACAGTAAAATCATCTTAAAACATCAAGAAGCTATTCAGCAACAGAGTACACAACAGAGATACAGACACAGGAAACAGAACCTATGGCAGACCCTGACACCAACTTTGTTCTCATACTTACAAAAACCACAACAGTATTTTAAGGCCTAATAATATAATCAAGAATATCACTGCTTTCTCTCCAGTGTGACATTTGTTATCTATTGTCTATTGTGCAAAAGACAGAGATCAAAGTGTCAAAAAACAAATGAATAGAAATCTGGCATCAGAAATGGCAACATGGAGTATTTACAGTGGATTCTGCAGAAAATACTTCACAAAAAGGAAAAGCAGCCTCTTTAACAAGCCTTGCAAATGATGCTTTATCATAGAATAGTAAAATCACAGAGTTGAAAGAGACCACATGGGTCATCTAGTCCAACTCCCTGCCATGCAGGAAATGCACTATCAAAGTACCCCTGACAGATAGCCATCCAGTCTCTGTCAATGTTTGGTTTGTATATCTATTTATATCCCTATAATGTATTAAAAATCACATAAAAAATTCTCAGACAGAAAGGGGCTGCATATGAAAAAAGTTTAAGAAGCCTAGGTCTAAAAGACACCCTAGAACAGGTTATCTACAACAGAAGAGGTAGGATCGATTTTTGTGCATTTTAATATATGTATTTCACCCCACTCCCCGTATTTGAACCGCATTCATGCTCCAGCTATCCTCACTAGTGAATACTCATTTGCAGCTCATTTGAACCATTCGGTCAGCAAGTTCAGCAGCTCAGCGCTTTAACCCACTGTGCAACCGGGAGCTCCCGGTGTCATAGAAATACCTTTTAATATATGTCTTTTATATACATATAAGGTATAGAAATCCCTTTTGACACATGTCTTTTACATAATGTTTTATAATTATGTGTTTTAACTGTGTCGTGCCCTGCCTAGAGGAGAGGCGGGTAAGAAATAACAATGATTATGGTTATGATTAGGCAGGGTGAGCAAATGAATAAAGAATATGGAGAGTTAGATAAAACTGCCATAAAGACACAACATATTAACTCAGGCATGGGTAAACTTGGGTCTTCCAGGTGTTTTGGACTTCAACTCCCACAATTCCTAACAGCCTCAAGTCCTGGTAGGCTGTTGGGAATTGTGGAAGTTGAAGTCCAAAACACCCAGAGGACCAAAGTTTGCCCATGCCTGTTCTAAGTAAAATTTTGCTCTGAGAAAAAATCTTCCCAATTATTTTTATTTTGTTTTATACACCAATCATGTGTGTGTGGAATTGCAGAGGTTCCATATCTATAGTAACACAGTCCTTTCTTTTCTTTCCTTTCCACTTAAGCGGCTGAGGGGGGAAAGGAAAGGGCCTGAGGCTGTTAGGAATGGTGGGAGTTGGAGTCTAAAACACCTGGAGGGCCCAAGTTAGCCCTGTTCGAAATTTACCTATCACTTGAAATGCTTTTCTTCTTCACCTGAGCTTGGCAATAACTTTGGTGACTGCCTTTGATCTTGAATGTCCTGTATATCTTATAGCACTCTGTTATGGCACCACAAAGGCATTGGGAGTTGTAGTTTGTGAGGCCCCAGCCCCCTTGGGCGGAGAAGGCGAAAGGCCTAGTAGAACTACAACTCCCAGGACGCCACCGCCTCGAGTGGGCCGCGCGCGCAAAGCACCCTGGGGCTTGTAGTCGCCCGGCCTTGCCCAAAGAGGCCGCCCTGGGAGGCTCCCCACCTGCTCCACCGAAGTCAAGGTCCGGACCCCGTCGTCCTGGAGCCTCTCCCTTCCCGGTTCCGCGCCTCCTCCGCGTCGGGGGCGTCTCCCGTCAGCGCCCGGGAGGGATGAAGCAGCGGCGGCCATGATCCCGAGGAGGCGCCTGCTTCTCTGCGCGGCTGGGGCTTGGCAGGCAAGAGGCAGCGGGACCACAGCCCGGCTACGGCGCGGCGCGGCGGACAAGAATGCTCGGCGCGTGCCGCTCGCGAGCCCTCTCGTGTGGAAACCTGTTGGCGAGCAGAGCGGCCGGCCCTCTATCGCCCCCGTGTGGCCCTCATTGGAACTTGCCAATTGACGCAAGCCGCTTCAGAGGGTAGGTCGCTTGGGCAGCTGGCACAACGCCCTTTGAGACCTCTTTCACTCGCCTCAGCTCCATGTCCTGGAATCCTGGGAGATGTAGCATTGCAGCAAAAGATCATGCAGAACTACAACTCCCAGGATTCCGCAGCGTTGCGTCACAGTGATTAAACTGCATTAATTCTGCAGTGCAGATGCAATTTGACCAACGGAAGCCCCATCCACACAGCTGAATAAAATTCCACATTATCTGCTTTGAACTGGAATATATGGCAGTGTGGACTCAGATAATCCAGTGCCCTTCCACACAGCCACATAAAATCGGAACATCAAGGCAGAATAACCCACAAAATCTGCTTTGACCTGGAATATCTGAGTCCACACTGCCATATATTCCAATTCAAAGCAGAAAATATGGGATTTCATTCAGCTGTGTGGAAGAGGCCACAGATAACCTTGGGCCCTTCTGCACAGCCATATATTCCAGAACATCTTGTTTGAACTGGGTTTTCTGAGTCCACACTGCCATATATCCCAGTGCAAAGCAGAAAATGTGGGATTTCATTCAGTTGTGTGGAAGGGTCCTCAGATAACCCAGTCCAAAGCAGATATTGTGGGATTTTCTGCCTTGATATTCTGGTTTCGATGGTTGTGTGGAAGGGCCCTTAGTCTGATGTGGAGAGTCGGGCGAGAAGGAAAGTGAGAAATTATGTATAGGAAGGCAGTGGTGCCTTCCTATACATAAGTCGTTTCTGATTTAGGGTGGCCCTAAAATGAACCCATCACAGGGTTTTCTTGGCCAGATTTGTTCAGAAGCCTTCTTCTGAGGGCCCTTCCACACAAACCTCTAACCCAGAATATCAAGGCAGAAAATCCCACAATATCTGTTTTGAACTGGGTTATATGAATCCACACTGCCATATATCCCAGTCCAGAGCAGATAATGTGGGATGTTATTCAGCTGTGTGGAAGAGGCCTGAGAGAGTGTGTCTCGCCCAAAGTCACCCAGTGGATTTCCATGGCTGAACAGATTAAATCAATGCTCAAAGGACTACACCACACTGGCTCTCACGTAGCTTTGCTACTTAATGACATTTCCATCCCCACCTAGAAACTGGTTTACTTAATTGGGGAGAAAACCTGTTCCTCGCTGATTGTCTTTAATTGCTCTCCAGTACGGTGTTGCTTGCAGAGTAATATTTGCTGAGCAAACTGGTTCCTGTAAATCTCTGCTGGCTTTTCCCCCAAAATAATTTCTATTCCCAGCTGAGACAGATGGCATGTAAGACAATGCTTTTGTAGTTTAGATGCAGACATTATATGTTACCTATTGTGCTTAAAACTTGCCTTTGTCTCATTTGAAAGCAAGGATACATCTATGCTGCAGAATTAATGCAGATTGTCAACACTTAACTTGGGAGTTAGAATCATAGAATCAAAGAGTTGGAAGAAACTTCGTGGACCATCCAGTCCAACCCCCTGCCAAGAAGCAGGGAAATCGCATTCAAAGCACCCCCGACAGATGGCCATCCAGCCTCTGCTTCAAAGCCTCCAAAGAAGGAGCCTCCACCACACTTCAGGGCAGAGAGTTTCACTGCTGAATGGCTCTCACAGTCAGGAAGTTCTTCCTAATGTTCAGATGGAATCTCCTTTCTTGTAGTTTGAAGCCATTGTTCTTCATCCTAGTCTTCAGGGCAGCAGAAAACAAGCTTGCTCTCTCCTCCCTATGATTCCCCCTCACATATTTATACGTGGCCCTCATCATGTCTCCTCTTGGCCTTCTCTTCTGCAGGCTAAACATGCTCATCTCTTTAAGCCGCTCCTCATAGGGTTTGTTCTCCAGGTCCGTTTGGTCACTCTCCTCTGGACACATTCCAGCTTGTCAATTTATTGTTGTTCATTCGTTCAGTCGTTTCCGACTCTTCATGACTTCATGGACCAGCCCACGCCAGAGCTCCCTGTCGGCTGTCACCACCCCCAGCTCCTTCAAGGTCAATCCAATCACTTCAAGGATGCCATCCATCCATCTTGCCCTTGGTCGGCCCCTATTCCTTTTTCCTTCCATTTTCCCCAGCATCATTGTCTTCTCTAAGCTTGTCAATATCTCTCTCCTATTGTGGGGCCCAGAATTGGACACAGTATTCCAGGTGTGGTCTAACCAAGGCAGAATAGAGGGATCTAGACACTATACTATTTATGCAGGGCAAAATCCCATTGGCTTTTTTAAGGTGCCACATGACATTTTTGGCTCATGTTTAACATGTTGTCCACAAGGACTCCAAGATCTTTTCCACACGTGCTGCTGTCCAGCCAGACATCCCAAGTCAGTAAGGATAATTTTTTACCAGTACATGGCATTTTTCTTTGAAAGTGCGCTTTTATTGAAAAAGAGGTAAATTTCTCCAAGGAAGAGGAGAGAAGAACTGTTAAGCAAACACTGTATTTCCTGTCTGTGATTCTACGGAAGCTGAATACAGAATTCAAAACAAATATACTCTTGACCCGTAATGCATTATGCTTTTCTTTTTATATGCACGCCATGCGAGAGCTCTCTGGATACAGGTTTTAGTCTTTGATGTGCCATGGGATTACTGATATTATATTGGAAGTTCCTGGAGCTTTCAGAGAAGCTGCTGTAATAATATAAGAAGATTCATGTAGCAGCTTCTTTCTAAATACCAAAGAAAGCTGCTTGATAATGCTTTCAATACTCCAGTAGATAGTGCAAATAGCAGTGAATATGTGCAACTGTTCCAAGGCAGAACAAATGCAGCAATGGAAAGAAATATGGGGCTACACTTAGATAAGAAAATAAAAAGGGCCAAGATCTTCTAATGATGTAGTGATGATGTACTGACGCTATTGCCATGCTTCCCAATGTCCCACACTTGAAATAGGACTCACAGTGGTGCAATGGGTTAAACCCTTGTGCCAGCTGAACTGCTGACCAAAAAGTTGGCAGTTTGAATCCATGAGATGGGGTGAGCTCCTCTCTGTCAGCACCAGCTTTCCATGCAAGGACATGAGAGAAGCCTCTCATAGTATGGTAACACATGTAGGCATCCCCTGGGCAACGTCTCTGCAGAGAGCTAATTCTCTCACATCAGAAGTGACTTGCAGTTTCTCGAGTCGCTTCTGACATGATAACCACCCCTCCCAAAAAAAACATTGAAATCATACAGGGTCTTGTTACAGCTGTCTATTGCAGTAGATCCTGTGAGTCAGGCTTACAGTATCATTACTATTGAACTGAATAATTTCTAGATCAGAGCTTTCCAAACATTTTACTTTGGGGTTTTTTTTCCATGTCAGGAGCAACTTGAGAAACTGCAAGTTGCTTCTGGTGTGAGAGAACTGGCCATCTGAGAATTGGTGTGAGAGAATTGATGACACTTTTTAGGCACGCATCATTTTGTGGCACAGTAATTTAGTTGTACTAGCAAACCGAAGGTTAAACCAACCACTTATAACAGATACGGACACATACATAAAGGTTAATAACGAAAAATATGGGGACACAACAAATTTCATTAAAAGCTTTCATTTACATTTAAAAATATGTGATTTAGAAGATAATAACAATTATTTTAAAGATTTTTGTCACTTATGAATAACTATGTTACGAATACCAATATTAATAATGTTGCTAGTACTGATTAGCACCTTTGCTGCATGCAAGTTGGTACTGCTCATTTCACAAAGACTCAGAGGTTTTGTGTTATGTTAGTATGACACATCCACATGCTACAGCCAAGACACTAATGTGTCATGGCACACAATTTGGAAACCTCAGTTCTAGGTAATGTTACTTGAAATTCATCTTATTAAAAGCCATTCTTTAAGCAATTAGGACAAAATAAACTATTACTTAGGATGAAAGTGTTCTTTAATCATTGTTTGCATAAAAGCAGGTCGACATTTTGGTCTCCTATTCAAGCATTAGAAGATGCAATAAAAAAACATTCATATGCTCCTGTCAAGCTGATCTTTGTCATTTGGTACCAAACAAGAAATTGATACAAGAAATTTAGTTACTTGATAACTCCTCCAGCTTCATTAAGGAAGTTCTCCCAACATCCAGAGGTATAGCAAAAAGTACAGATATAGCAGAGGTACAGCTAATTACATCCCTGAACCAGATACAGTCAGCACAAGTTAGTCATTGAGGAGAGTGCGGCCATAAGGATCGTGACAGAAACAAAAGGTCTGCTTATCTTACCTTACATCTGCCATACAAAAGGAATTTTAAGCTGCAATTAAGTATCTCCAGGAAGTCTGCACTGGAGGTATGTCCATATTCAAACTTGAACTTTTGATGTTTAAAAAACAAAACAAAAAGTGGTTGCTCAGCTTCTGTAACCTGTTCCCCATAATGTATAAGAGAAGACAGAAGTTATATATTTTTTTATTTATGTATTTTTATCCCGCTTTTCCCCTATGGGTGGGATTCAAAGCGGCAAACAATAGTTAAAACTGCAGAAATTACATGACACGAAAAGCACAACAACATCATCTCAAAGAAAACAAATAAACAAACAGCACATTACAAAAATTATATACAACAACTTAATAAATATAACATGTACTATTAAAATTCCCTGGGCCTCAGGCCACTGAGATTATCCATAAAAACGTAATAAAGATCCTAGAAGCTCCACTTCTTTAGGCCGTGTAAACATTGCCAAGTCGGAGACAGCCTTCAGTGATGTGCCTTACCAATAGCTTTACCAACCTATTATAAGTTATCAGAAAAGGCCTGATTCCATAGGAAGATTTTAACTTGTGAGCAAAAGGCCTATAAAGAGGAGGGCCAATCGAACCTCTTTGGGAGGGGAGGTCCAGAGCTGCAGGGCCACCATCGAGAAGGCCCTTTCTCTT